GATCATATTGCAATATATAAATGTATCAAGTCAATCCATCTGCCCCTTAAATTTATAGTCGTTTGTCAATTATACCTCAATAAAAAATAAGAGTAAAAAATACATGAAGAAGTCTAATAAGAAAGTTAAAAATCAACTATCAAATATGAATTAAGTCCAGATGATATTAAAATAACAGCCTGAATTGCTTTAAAGTGAATTAAATTTCCTCAAAAGAATAAATGAAGTACTCATATTTTTTGAAACAAGCAGATGTGAAACTAGAACAAATCTGGAAAAGGGCCAACTAGAAATCTTAGAAATGAAAATGTAGTCACTAAAATAAAAATTTAATAGTGTTGGACAAGTAGAGAATTCATAAATTGGAATTCATCCTGAGTGCATAAAGGAAAATAAAAAGATTTAAAAAAATGATAAGCATTTAAGAGTCATGAGGCTCTAGCTCATATTTAATAGGCATTTCAGAGAGAGAGAGAATAGAGAAATGATAGAGAAGAAAATAGATAGTGGATGAGGATTTTTCAGAATTTGAGAAAAACAAGGATCTTCAGATGAAAAGTATACTTTGAGTATTAAGCAGTGTAAGTGCAAAGAAGTCCACAGATTTGAACACCAAAACAAGAAACAACCCAACTTAAAAGCTTCCAAGGAGAAAAGTCAGAAAGGCCAGTTGTCGCCCTTTGGAAGCAGACTTTTTATCTGCAACCATATGCAGTAAACAAAGGGAAGAGTGATTTCAATATCCATGAAAGAGTGAAGGAGAAGTATATGTTACCGTAGAATTTTACACTGGTCTAAATCATCATTGTAGAGTGAAGGCATAATAAAAGCATTTTCACATATGTAAAGAGAATGTCATTGATTACTAACCCACCTACATTTAAAAAATTTTTTAATGTAATCTTTATTGTATATTTTCACATTACCTTTAGTCCTTATACCCCAGCAGTCACCACCACACTGTTGTCCGTGTCCACGAAGTGCTTTTTCCTTTTTGCTCAATCTCTCCACCACCTAACCTCTCCCCAACTAGCTGTCATTTAAAGTATATATTTTTCCTTTTTTCAAAAATTTTGTTCATTTATTTTTTAGAGAGGGGAGAAGGGAGGGAGAAAGAGAGGGAGAGAAACATCAATGTGAGAGAGAAACATCAACCAGTTGACTAGCATTCACCCCAACTGGGGACGAGGGCTGCAACCTATGCATGTGTCCTGACCAGCAGTCGAACTGGCGACCTTTCACTTTGTGGGATGTTGCCCAACCCACTGAGGCACAAAGGCCAAGGCAAACTATATATTTCTGTAAGATGCAGAGTAAACCCAGAGGGACAGAAGGGTTGGGATATAAGAGACAATGAAGAGCAAGAAATGGATAATATGTGTTGGTAAAATTAACTATTGATAATAAAAATAATAAACTTTTCTATAGTTAAAGTTTTAGTCAAGAGTAGTAAGGTAGAAGTTTTCAGTGGTTAAAGATTTATCGTTCTAGAAGAATGTAGAGATGCTGAATAACTTTACATATGGTTAAGAAAGATGAAGAGGGAAGTATGCATGTTAAATTTTTAAGTGGAATCATTAAAACAGTAAGAATAGAATATTGTGGATTCCAAACCAGCATATGGGATGGGGTGAGAGGAAGATGTAGAAAACTTGATCTATCTAACAGGTGGCAGGAAAAGCAAAATAAATATAAAAGCAAAGGAAAAAGACTGGTAAACTGAAAACAGACAGTAAGATGGCAGAGTCCAGAAGTACCACTAATCAAGTCAGAGTTCATGGTGTTGCATATTGTTTAAATACATTCCTCCTCTGAAAAGGTGGAAACAGTTTATTTCTGTTTGTACAGATTTTCAGAGATCTGTGTGCTGGGTCTCTACTATCGTATCTGTTAAAAAACTTTGCTCTTCTGATTTTATTCTCTTAATCTCCTACACCAACAATTTCTCCCTTCACTTCATCATTCCCGTTTCTATATAAAACACTGTCAATCTCTCCTTGATTCCATTCATTCTTCATGCCAGCTCCTGCAGAGAGCACAAATACTGCTTTTACTTCATCATCTCACATTCTCGCTTCAACTGTTGCCTCCATCCTTACTGTTCCTCTGAAACTGCTGTTACCAAAAGATGACGAGGGGTCTCCATTTTGCTACTCCCGTATTCACTTCTAACCTTGGCCTTCGTGGAAATTAATTACACAAGCATCTACTCATAAATTAAACGGTATTTTAAACATTGAAGCAGTAAACAACAGTGGTTTAGACACAGACTAATCAAAATGACTTGAGTTTCAGTTCTTCACTAACTCCGTATTTAGAATAGTAGTTCTGTGACTTTGGGGGAAGCTCTAAAACTTCCCTGTGCCTCAGTGTCTTCAGCTGTAGGGTAAAGATAATAGTACTCACCTCAGCAGCTTTGTAAGGACTAAATGCACACAGAGCGCACAGTGTGATACATGGCATGTGACAAATGCTTAGGAAATGTTAGAAGTTAGAAAACATAATAAAATCGACACTTGGGAATTTACCACCCAACCTAAGAACTTTTCTTTCTTTCATTTCTTTCTCTTAGCATAATGTTCTCCAGGTCTCTCCATGCTGTTGCTTGCAAAGGGTAAAACTTTCTTTTTCATGGCCAAGTGGTGTTCCTTTGTGTAAATGTCCCACAGTTGTTTTATTGAGTCATCTACTGATGGGCACTCAGACTGCTTTTATACCTTGGTGATTGTAAGTAATGCTGCAGTGAACAGAGAGGTGCTTGTGATCTTCGCATTAATGTTTTGGGTTTCCTCAAAACTGTACAATCTTAATAATATTCTCCCTCACCCTATGTATCCAGTCTGACTATCCTGAACTTTGTGTTTGTCTCTTGATTTTAAAAAAAGAGAAAGAAACACATTTAGTCATTTGTATATATATCCCTAATTGTTAATTTAGCTTTTGTTTATACTTTTATTGTAATAGCTTATAGTAGGTATTCTTTTGTGATTTACTTTTTTCATTAAATTTTGTTGCTAAGGTTTATCCTAATAGTATATGTGTCCAATTCATTAATTTTCATGGAGATAATTATAGCATGCATATTTTAGGGCTGTATGAATTAAATGAGTTGCTACATGGAAAGTACTTAGTCTGGTGCTTGGCACACAGTAAGGGTTTAAAGAGAGATAGTCATTATGTTTATTATTCTTCCCTGCTGTGTGAAGTGTTATATACTAGAACATGGTTAGTTTATTGTCTTGCTTATGGGCATTCAGGTTGTTCACAGTTTAAAACAACACAACATAATGCTGCTCTGTACATTCATATCCCTCTCTTGTGCCCTCAGGCAAATTTCTGTAAGCTAAGTATTGGGTTGGCCAAAAAGTCAGTATGGTTTTTTCCATAAAATAGAAAATTCATTTTTCATTTTTGCCAATAACTGTTGATTTGGATATTTTGAGTATGTTGGCTACCTCCTGTGTGGTACAGTGTTGATTGTTCTCAGTTAATGACTCGATTGCTATCAACTTTAACTGGTGTACCCAATCGTCCAGCGAGAAATCTTCACGAAACTTTGCAAATCACTTTTGACATGTTCAGTATGTCACAGCACCTTCTCCATACACTGCACAAATCTTTTTTGCATTTCTGTTACATTTTTACCTTTCTTGAAATAATAAAGCATCATATGCTGAAAACATTGCATATTTTCTTCCATTTTCAGTATTAAAATGGCTACACAAAAACTCACCAATTTTGATTATTTTTTAAATGCATGCTGGTATGACAGCTGTCACAGTACGCTCTAACAAAATTGTTTTTAATGAAGTTAAAGACAACTAAACACTACTAGAGGCATGTAAATGGAAAAAAACAAATGAACTTTTTGGCCAACCCAATACTGTCCCAGAAGTAGAATCGCTAGGTCATAAATTATGCTTGTGTTTAACTGTGTTAGGTAGTGCCAACTTGTTTACCAAGGTTTTTTTTTTTTAACTTGTGCCTATTCATGTTTCCATCAGCAGTGCGTGAGTGTATAAACTCATACTTTTTCATTTTCCTAATCTGAAGATTGTAAAATGGTATCTTGTGGTTTCATTTGGATTCTATTAATAATGAGGTAATCATCTCTTCATATGTTTACTGGCTATTTATTTCCTTTTCTATGCAAGTTCTTGTTCTCAGCCCTTTTTTTCTAATGGGTTATTTGTCTTTTATCTGAAGGAATTCTTAAATATTCTTGATATTTATCCTTAGTTGATTCTAGTTGTTGGAAATATATTCTCTCAGTTTGAGGCTTTTATTTTTGCCCTTATTTTTTATGGGTTCTTTTCATGAACAGATGTTACGAATTTTAATTTAGCAGAATTTGTCCATTTTTCTTTGTATTGTTTATCTTTATTAAGCAGTCTGACTCTATGACAAAAATGGGCAATATTGTTGTCTGTTAGGAATGTAAAAACAACCAGTTTCAACTTCCAGTTTTATTGTAGATTTCAACTTCCTTTTGCTTATTTACTTATTGGGGGGGAGCTGTACAGTAGCTTCAGTAATTCTTAATGGTTATTTTTCACTGAAGAGCACCTCAGGAACAGTTTTAAGTAGAGGAATCAACAGTGTGTCTGTCCTTGTTTTGGTCCTTATTTTAAAGGAATGATGTAAAGTTTCACCATTGAATACAATGTTTAGGTTTGTTTTACCCTTTAAAGAAATTTCTTTCTGTCCTAATTTTCTGAAAGGGTTTGAAACTTGCATTGGTGTTGAATTTTATTAAATGTTTTTTCTTTAGCTCCTGAAATGCTTCTATAGTTTTTCTCCTTAAATCTGGTAATGATGGGAATCACTAGCTTTTCTAATGAGTGCTTTTCTTTAAGTGCTTTTAACACTCCTAGGATAAATCCAACTTGTCTATGATATATTACCTTTTTTACACATTGCCAGATTGTTAGTTAATAATTAAGTTTATAGGTTTGTATGAAAGCCATTGATTATTACAAAATTTTTAATTAACTTTACAGCAGAAAATATAGGTGCAGAACTCAAAGCTCCACTGATTAAGCAAGAACCTCTCCAAGTAAGAGGTAAATATATTTTATTCTATTTTTTATAATGGTGTTTTAAAATTAAATATATATAATTAGTTTATATAGGGTTTTTTATGAGGGTTAGGGTTATTGACCATAAGGATTTATTCTCCTGTTTACAAGCTGATTTTCTTCTGAAGTTAACTTTGCATTTTAGTCACAAATTTTGTGGTAATTTTTTTTTCCTAAAAAGCCCAAAGAACAGAGTAATGGCAAAGAAAAACCATTAATTACTTTATTATTTTACAAAAGTAATGTGATTAAAGAACCAGAGGTCAGTACCTTTCAGCTACAACTTTTTCAAATCCAGATAGTTTGGACGTCCTTGTCTGACTTTCTCTTTTGGGAGTAATTGTGTGTAAGGCATCTGCAGCTCTGTTCTCTGGTAACGCCCTACGGCTCCCGCTGAGCTGTGGCCCTGATCCCAGGCGGTGGGTTTCACAGAGGCAGCAACCGTGTGGTTGGGAGCACCCTGGGTTTGGAGTCAGGCAGAGCAGGATTTAATCTGTGGCCCCCACATGTACCAACTGTATGGCGCTGGGCAGCTCACTTGGCTTCTCTGAGCCATAGTTTTCTTCTCTATAATATGGTGCTAAAAGTGGAACTTCTTTTGTAGGGTAATTTCAAAGACGATACCTGCTGCTGTCACCATTAAGAATAATTAATGTGATAGCAGACATTATTATTAATAATCTGGGCCAGACACAGGCCAACAGGGATTTCTAGCTACTTTGAAGACAAAGTAATTTTTAAAAACCCTAATCTTTTAAAAAGAGAGATGTAATTTCCTTCTCTATTCCAGAGGAGCTAATCTGGATTTTGAATTCGGCAGTTCAGAGACTTGAACTCATGTGAAAAGAAATCTGAACATTTTTATATACTGTTTTTTTTAACAAGTTTTTTTTTTTAATCCTCACCCCTGAGGCTATGTTTTCACTGATTTTTAGAGAGGAAAGGAGAGGGAAACAGAAACATCGATTGGTTGCCTCCCACATGCACCCCAGCTGGGGATTGAACCTGCAACCTAGATATGTACCCTGATTGGGAATTGAACCCGCAACCTTTTTGGTGTACAGAAAGACACTCCAGCCACCTGAGCTACCCAGCCAGGGCTCAAACAGGGTTTTGCTTTTTATATTGGACTTGAGTTTTGAAATGTTCTTCTTAAGTATTATTTGTGCATTTGATTTTAAAAGTTCTTGTGTTGAGAGTCTTTTTACCTACTGCGATTATAGATAATTTTAGTCTTAAGTTGCTCTTTGAACTTGAAAGTAGAACGGAAAATTTATGAATTAATAGACGTGAGAATAGAATGTGAAGTGACCGGGTGTCACTTTGTAACAGAACCTGAGTTTATTCTGTTATTTTGCTCTTGCTCTTCAGTTATCTGCTTATGTTATTTATCTGTATCATATGACCAAAAGTCTCACTTTATAATATGATTTATGAACATAGGCCAATATTGAATGTAATTTTTAATTCACAGATTACAATTGATGCCAAATGGGCATCTCATTATTGATGTCTCTGTCTTTTTTATGAACAGTTTGATACTTGATAATAGGTAAATAATAGAAGGTAGTATTTTACCCATAGTTTGTAATAAACTTTCTATAATTTTTAACTGATACAAATGTTTCTTTTGTTTACTTCAGCTTTTTGCATTATGGGAAGCAGTCCAGTGGCTTTCAAACTTTCTGTCTGCAACCCACTTAAAAAATACTGTTTAATAAGTTCGTTTTTATATAGATTATTATATGTAACTGAAACAAAAGCTTTCACAGAAAAGTACTTACTCTTAACTTCATGCAGTACTTTTTGATTACATTTTTTTGATACAGCAAAATGTTGTTTTTACTCAAGTTTTAAAAACACTGACCCAATACTGTGGTTTCTCTTCAGATCGTGTAAATCCTTCACCTTTACCAAAAACACTGAACTAGCCTGTAATTTTTAACTGAAACTTAAATTCACTTTCCCTTCGATCCTAAACGATTTGTTTTAAACTGACCAGTGTTGCCTATACAAGGTATCCTTTAGACAAAGGGGTGGCATTTTGGCATCAGTTACAGATGAACCATGGATATAAGTTTAATGACTACAATTGTAATTCCATTCTGTTCTGCACTTGGAGAACTGTTTTTTATGATGCCATTTAGTGTATCAGAAAATAGATTTGATATTTTATGGAATTCATTAGTGAAGCTTCAGCGTATATGTATCTCTAAATATGACTTTTGTTGTGTATGTTTTTTGTTTTCCTATATTTTTTGGCTTTAGTCAAAGCAGTCCTTAAGAAGAGGGAGTATGGACCAAAGTACACTCAGAATAATTTCATCACTGGAGTCAGAGCAATAAATGAGTTCTGCCTTAAAGCCAGGTATAGTTTTTTTTTTTTTTTTTTTTTAAGATTTTATTTTTTAGACAAAGGGAAAGAGAGGGAGAGAAACATCTATGTGAGAGAGAAACATCAGTTGGTTGCCTCTCGCACATGCCCTGACTGGGAGTCGAATCAGTGACGCCTTGCTTTGTGGGGCGCCACCCAGCCAACTGAGCTGCACTGGTCATGGCATAGTTTTTTAAAAGTAGAATTTTGATCTCTGATCTTAAATAACCATTTATTTCTTAGAATGTGTTACCTGCTACCACCCATGTGGAAACTTCCCCGTGGCTTCTTCCTAAATTAAATATTGTTATTTATTTTAAAAAGTGTTAAAATTATTTGCTTACTGGATTGAATTCTGCTCCGGCATGAGCAGTTTCTGTCTTTCTGGGTTTCTTACACTCAGAAAGGCAAGTTTTCAAGCCCTGTGTGTCACACAATACGTTAAGGGCTTTATTGTTTATGTTCACTTGTGTCAGAATTATCAATAATAAGATTATTTGCATATTTTATGCTTGACTTTTTTAAATTTTGGTTTTTTGGGGCAGCAGAATTGAGTGGTTCTTAATTCGTACATTTATATTTATATTCCATGTGTGGTTTCTGTTGAGTAAACGAGGGAAGGGACCCAAAAAACCCCCCAGAATTGTCTTCTGGAGGGCGGGCCCCTTGTGGTACAGGCTTCCCACTGTAGGTGAGTGTTCCAGGAACCCGCCTGTGTCAGTGCACCATCTGGCCTTGTGAGAGGCTACGTTCAGCTTCAGTGAATTTTTCTTTAAGACTCTTTAGTCTTAAAGAGACTCTTGTGAAATGGGTTTGCCCATTTCACAATGGCTGACATACAAGCACATCTGCCTGTACCATGCACTGATTGTTCAGTTTTTGACGAAACACACAGCGTGACCCCATCCCCACCCCCATCCCCCATCCCCGTGCCCCACCTTACCTGTTCACCCAGTCTCACCCTGTGGACAAAAGTCCTCAAAGGGAAATGTTTTGCTGATGTGGAAGAGATGAAACAAAAAATGGAAGAAGCAGTAAAGGCATCAAAATCAAGGAGTTCAAAAACTGTTTTGAGCAGTGGAAAAGTCTCAATAGGTGTATAGTATCAAATGGAGAGTACTTTGAAGGTGATGGTAGTTTAGACGTATAAGAATAAATATACAATTCTTTATAAATAAATTCTGGATTTTGGGGGGTGCCCCTCTGTAAATTATTTTTACATCTTGCATGTTTTTGTTATGAATTTTCTTGTAATCAGAGAGATTTATTGAGATGATATGTGTCATATATTTTTAAAATTTTCCTTTATGTGTTTACCTAGAAAAGCCATATTTATGTGGAAGATTTTTTGGTGTTTTAGAGATACCAGATGTGAACTGGCCTTTTTTTTCCCTTTCCCTGATGGTTATTCTCAATTGTGTATTATCAAGAAATAAGGAATCTTACAATCAGTTTTTTAACCTACATAACTAGTAAAGCAATAATCAATTGTAACATTGAGGTGAAACTATATTCTGTTTCACATAGAGTATTTCGTTTAATTCTCACAAAAATTCTGTGACTGAAGTAGGTTAGGTATTGCTATTTGCACATTATAGGCCAGGAAAAATAATAAAGATGTCAGTGGTGATTCGGCTCATTTAGTGAACCAGTGACAGAGAGGAAACTAGGGTCATCTTTTTAACAGCTGATCCAAGCTGTTTTACTTACATGTGGTAGCTGATTGTTGATGCTTTTAAACTCCAGGTTTAATTTAGAACTTAATAATATTCCACAGTTACCACATTTTAACTTATCGGTCTTTTCATTGATATTACAGGATTTTCTTAGGAATACTAGTAATCAGGCATGGAACTAAAATACTATCTTTGTAACTTTGAACGATATTAATACTTAATCTGGCTGTAAACAAAGAGGGCTATAAATTTTCAATTTAAATTCTTAAGTAGAGGGATGATATTCTAATCCATGTTTTTTACTAGTTTTCACATTTTTTAAAATACAGTATATCAGACATTGCAGTGGTTTATCCATAGCAGGAGAAATGTAAGCACCTAGGAAGGAACTTAATCTCCACATGTTATGTATGTATCTGTATTGAATGTCAAGAATAATTTTTTTCACTGTCTCAAGACCAGTTTTTGTGTACAAAATGCAATCTTTATACACCGGTCTTTCAGTGCTGTACAGATCTATGATCTTTCAAGATGAGGATCAATGTAGTAGCTTTTCTCTGTTCATAATAATTCTTTAAATACATAAGCTATTTGAACGCTGTGAATAAATTCAACATGTTTCTTTCTTCAGTGATCTGGAGCAACTTCGAAAAATCCGACGACGAAGTCCCCATGAAGATACTGAGTCCTTCACTGTGTACTTGAGATCCGACGTGGAGGCAAAGTGAGGACACAGTTCCGTTAGAATAACAATACCGGCTCAATTTCAGATTAATACAAACACATTTTAGACAGACCCAGAGATTTTTAAATGACATTTTTCTTGAAGTAGAATATTTTCATATTGGCAAATTTATCTGGGAGTTACTAGTATGTACTACTTAACTAAAAATGTCCTAATTTATAAGAAAATCTACTGTTGAATTTATTATTTTATTTAAAATAAACTTAGTTTAGAAAGGCTGTTTAAGTTTTCTTAGTTTAGAAAAGTTTTTCTAAAGGACCTTATGCTTTGTTGTAAGATTCTATAATAGTAATACGCTTTATCTAGAGCTAAATATGGTACAGTAAAGTCATTAAAATTGTTCACTGTTGTGGGTCATGTATTCACAAACAGATCTTTGGAAGTTTGGGGAAGCCGTGAAGCTCTTGCCAGAGAGAAAAAACTGCGTAAGGAAGCAGAGATAGAATACAGAGAAAGTAAGTATATTGAGTTTAAAGCCAAGTTAATTGGAAAGGACAGGCACTATGCACTCCCTGGTGGTCGCGTACCTTTGGCTTTGGCTCTTTTGTTTCTAGTGTATAGCAGTGTCCATTTTGGGACAGTTACTTTATAAAAGCTATATCTATTTGTTTTATCCTCTATAGCTGTTTCAAGATGGTGAGAGGAAGTGAAGTTAGTCTGTGGTTTCTTATAAGACATGAGTATTAAAACAATAAGGTCTGGCCTTGGCTGGTGTGGCTCAATGGATTGAATGCCCGCCTGCAAACCAAAGGGTCACCAGTTCGATTCCCAGTCAGAGCACATGCCTGGGTTGTGGGCCAGGTCCCCAGTAGTGGGCATGCAACAGGCAACCACACGTTAATGTTTTTCTCCTTCTCCCTTCCCCACTCTCTTAAAATGAATAAATACAGTCTTTAAAAAATAAAAATAAGCCCTGGCTCGTGTAGTTCAGTGGCTTGAGTGTGGGCCTGTGGATTGAGTGTGGGCCTGCAAACCAAAGGGTGTGGGTTCGATTCTCAGTCAGGGCACATGCCTGGGTTGTGGGCCAGGTCCCCTTCCTCATGGGAGGGAGCCACACATTGATGTTTCTCTCCCTCTCTTTCTTCTTTCCTTCCCCTCTCTCTAAAATATAGATAAATAAAATCTTTTTTTTTAATGTTAAAAAAATAAAAATAAAATGGTGGTCTCATTTGAAGATTTTACTTATTCTAAAAGTGATAGGATAGTGCTTTTTTATGGAAAAGCCTGTTAATTCAGCTACCACATTTCTACTTTAATTAACTAATTCAGATATTTATCAAACATCTGTGAACTAGAAACTGCTTGGTGCTTGAGATTTAGATGCACATAAGATTTTCAGGGAATTTAACAACTCAGTGTTACAGTAACGGAACCACTTTCTAGAATTAGGGTTAATGTAACATGAAATATGGCCCTGACCTGTGTGGCTTAGTTGGTTGGGCCATATCCCTCCAGGTGAAAGGTTGGCAGTTCCGTGCCCAGTGCAGGGTATGTGCCTGGGCTGCTGATTGGTCCTCGGATGGGGCGTGCGTGAGGGGCAACTGAGCGACCTTTCTCTCTCACTTCGATGTTTCCCTCTCCCTTTCTTCCCCTCTCTATAAAGATAAATGAATTATTAAAAAATATATGAAATAGGTTTTAATTTTTGATTTACCTATATATGTATTAATGACAAAAGTAGTACTACTTGTGGTTTTAAAAAGGATACAGAAATATAAAGTAAAAAGTCTCTTTTTGTTTCCTTTAATATTGTCTCATTTTTCTTCCTAGAGATAACTGTTGAAATTTCCCTCTGTGTGACTAAATCATCAAATATTGATAGATATTTACATGATTCCAAAGTCACATTTTGCAAGACAAAATACTTCAGAGAAATTTAATTTCCATTCTTGTCTCCTCCACCTTGTTTCCCTTTGTCTAGCATACGTAACCATTTAAAAAGTTAGTTTGGGGATTATTATTTTCATTCAAAAAATATAAAATAGCAAACACACATACATATATTACATACAAGATATAATAAAATAGCATACCACCCCCTTTCATAAATAAGACATACTAAACACACTTTATGTCCTTGATTTTTTGGAGGGGTCCAACTTGTTTGAGACTCTGTGCTTTCTGGACTTGTATGTCTATTTCCTTCACCAGATAGGGGAGTTTTCTTTTGTTCTTTTTTTCAAGTAAGTTTTCGGTTTCCTGCTCTTCCTCTTCTCCTAGCACCCCTATGATTCGGATGTTGGTGTGTTCGGAGATGTCGCAGAAGCTCAGAACAGCTCAGAAGTGCTCATTGTATTCACATTGTTATAAAACAGACCTCCGCAAAGCTTTTTCCCAGAAATTTTTCATCTTACGAAACAAACTATACTTGTTAAACAAGAACCCCCCCCATTCCTCTACCCCTAGCCCCTGATAGCCACTATTCTACTATTTCTATGAATTTGACTACTATAGATGCCTCACATAAGTGGAAGCATATAGCATTTGTATTTTTGACTGAGTTATTTCACATAGCATAATGTCCTTAAGGTTTATCCATGTGAAGGGATTTCCTTTTCAAGTCTGAGTAATATTGCATTGTATGTATATAGCACATTTTATGTGTTCATCTGTGGACATTGTGTTTGCTTTTACTTTCTGGCATTGTGTTTGCTTTTACTTTCTGGCTATTGCTGATAGGTAATCTTGTTGATATCTTGCTTTAATAATTTTTAAATATATATACCCACAGTGGGATTGCTAGATTTTTGTGCTTGTTTTTTTAGATTTTGTGTTTTTTTAGATTTTTGATTTATTTTATTTTTAAACAGAGGAGAAGAGAGGGAAAGAGAGAGAGAATCATCATTGTGTGGTTGCCTCTCATATGCCTCACATGGGGGACCTGGCTGGCAGCCCAGGCATGCGCCCTGACTGGGAATTGAACTGGCGACCCCTTGGTTCACAGGCCAGTGCTCAGTTGCTGAGCTACACCATCCAGGGCTGTTTTTACTTTTTTGAGGAGCCTCTATATTGCTTTCCATTGCATTCACACCATTTTACAATCTCACCAGCGTACATAAAGTTTCCAGTTTCTCCCCATCCTTACTAATACTTGTTCTTTTCTTTTTTTTTTTTTTAAAGATTTTTATTTATTTATCTTTAGAGGGGAAGGGAAGGAGAGAGGGAGAGAAACATCGGGTTCTAGGCCCGCGCTCAATCCACTGAGCTACACCAGCCAGGGTGTTCTTTTCTTTGTGCTTCTCTCCTCTCTCCTCTTCTTTCTCTTCCCTCCCTCCCTTCTTTCTCTTTCTTTCTTCCCCTCCCCTCTCCCCTTTCTTCCTTTTCTATCTCCCTCCCTCCCTCTTTCCCTCCTCCTTCTTTCCAAATAGTAGCCATTCTGATGGGTATGAGGTGATATTTCATTGTGGTTTTGATTTGCATTTCTCTAATGATTAGTGATATGAGCATCTTTTCATGTGCTTGTTGGCCATTTGTATATTATCTTTGGAAAAGGTCTATTCAGGTCCTTTTTTAATTGGGTTACAAATCCAGATTTCTGATAATTTTTGCTGGTAGCAAATGAAGCATGTGTAATGTAGTCTTACTGTGTTAATCTGAAATATGAATGATAACAATGTGTATGAGCTAAATATGTTTTGTAATTCTTATAGGGCTATTTAGAAACCAGAAAATATTAAAAGAATATAAAGACTTCCTGGGCAATACCAAGGTAAGGATACCTTTCTGATAACGTTCTGCATGTGTTACACAGTGACCTTCTAGTGTAAGTGCGTTGTGAGATACCAGCATGTCTGATCCTACTTTAAGATTTTCTTGATTATGTTGTAATTTACTGAATTACAATCTATTTGCTTCTGTCTGGTTTTTGAAATTTAAAAAAATTGGGACATAAGTTCTCTTTAAATTTAGGACTGTGTTGTAAACTGTGAGTATACAGATAGAGGTGAGGGAGAAGACTTCATTTTCTCAGGTTTTTAGCAAGATTTAGCTCTCTCATAGCCACCTTTAATTTTCTTTATCCCATTTCTTACTCATAACCCTGGTTAAACATTTAAAGTGCCAGTTTTCTGCTTATACTCCAGAAGTTCAAACCCTGCAGGATAAAATTACACAGCTCTTTTGATTGTTCTTTCTTTATTATATGAGTATACAAAACACTCAGTATCATTTGACAGTCTTTCTAGATTCCCATAGTATATTCACTTTCCCACTGTGAGATAGCTATTGAATATTTTCCTCTCTTTTCAAGCTTCCTACAGCCTTATTCTTTATTCTTTTTTAAAAGTTGGTTTTAAAAGGGGGAGGGGAGCAGGAGAGAGAGAGAAACATTAATTTGTTGTTCCAGTTACTTATGCATTCATTGTATGACTTTGTATGTACCCAGACTTGGGATTGAACTCTCAAACTTGGCATATTGGGATGTCACTCCAAGCACCTGAGCTACCCAGCCTGGGCCCTCCCTCTTTGCACATCAGCTGATGACTTTGCTTCATATTTCATTGAAAAAATAGATGTCATCTTATAAAAGTACCTCACTTTATATCACCAAATTTATTAACTTATCTGCATGTGTGCCAGAATACTCTGTTATTTTCCTTCCAACTAGAAGGAAATTAATACTGGGACCAGTATAGAAATTTACTTTCACTATCCTACCTCTTACTCTCTCCTGAATCCTTTTCAACTGGCTTTCATCCCTTCCACTACACTGCAGTGGCTCTTACCAAAGTCACCAACACCACCAAGATGCCAAGTATTCATGGGCAGAGTCAACTTGCATTTAAACTTAGCTGGGAAGTATCTCCTTTCAAGAAGTGAATGTCCTACCTGGAGAAAGGCTAATAGCAAATCGTTTTCTTTCTTCCGAGTTATACTCACGACATTGTAAAATTTAGAAACTGTCAATGATGAGATGCTTTTCTTCCCCTTTCATTATATTGAAAACTTCTTAATTTCCATTTCCCTTGTTGTCCTGTGTTTCTGGCACCCCAGTGCTGCACTGAAGGGGTGGCACTCTCTTTAGTGGCAGAGACTTCTGTGAGCCAGCACCTACAGTGAGGGCTGTGTCTACTTTCTCAGGGCAATGGTGGCCTGCTTGCCAGGGGACAAAACTGCCATAGGCCATGGCACCTTACTAAGAATAAACTCTTGGTAAAAGTTTGCTCCAATCCCACTAACAACCTAAAATTTCACTCCTTATTTGTTTTCCCCACCATTTCTCAAAGTTTCAGACCGCTGCATTAGATTATAAAGACTTCTTATTTAGACTTAACCCGGTAATTTGTAGCCAACTCTATCCCTCATGCCCAGATACAGAGCCAGGGAAGAACAGAAAATGTGTTCAGAATCTCCGAATAAAGGAAGGAGCTAAGCATCCCCAGCATTCTCTCCCAGACTTCCCAGTTTACCTGCCTCACTAAACTTAGTCAACCTCCAGAGGTCCCTGGTGAGGAGACGGTGGTTACATGCAAAAGGCCAGCCTTATCGGGGGTGGGGGGCAAAATGAAGGAAATGAGGAGGGAGTGTTCATGTGCCTCCAGTGTGTTCCTCTCCTGGAACACCTTGATTTCTAGAAGTCTAAGATGGCCCTTCTCCTGGTTTTCCTCTTTGTTAATTCTTCCTCCTCCCCTGTTGTATTTGTGAAAGACCCTGCTTTTTTAATCTCTTCCTTTAAATGTTAAAGAATCATTATAGGCCCTTTTATGTTGAAATCCATTAGCAAGTCTGCCCTGGTCGGTATGGCTCAGTTGGTTGCAGTGTTGCCCCATAACCAAAAGGCTGTGGGTTCGGTTCTCTGCCAGGGTATATACTGTGGTTGTGGGTTTCATCCCCAGTCCAGTTGTGTACAATCCCTGGTTTGCACATGTGCAGGAGGCAATCAGTCGATGCTTCTGTCTTGTGTCGATATTTTTCTCTCTCTCCCTCCTTCTCTCTCTGAAAGCAGTAAAAAAAGGGAAAATGTCCTTGGCTGAGGATAAAAAATAATATTAAAAAATAAATTCATTAGCAAGTTCCATTGGCATTTTCCCCAAAGTAGATACCTAGTATGACTGCGCCTCACTGTGTACCGTATTGAAACCTTAGTGATCACCATCTCTTACCTGAACTGCCCTCCTAATTGAGGGACTGCCCTCTCTGCCTTTGCTTTTGCCCCCCTAGTTCATTCTCTACATCATACACTATATCTTTTTCAAACATAAATCAGACTATGTCAAGGTTCTGCTTAAAATTATCCAGTGCCTTCTATTTCCAATTAGAATAAGATATATACTTCTTACCGTAGTCTACAAAGTCCTGTGAGATATGACCCCTGCCTCCTTCTCTGGCCTCAACTCCTACCATTTTCTTTGCTGTCCGCTTTAGCCATACCAGTCTATTTTTTGTTTTTTTTTCTTTTAAAAAAATATATTTTATTGATTATGATATAACAGTTGTCCCATTTTCCCCCCTTCACTCCTCTCCACCCTGCACAACCGCGCCCACCCACATTCCCCCCTCCTCCTCCCACTCCCCTGTTGTTAACCCTCATGTGATCTCCCTTTCTGTGGTTCTGTTCCTGTTGCAGTTGTTTGCTTAGTTTCTTTTTGTTTTTGTTTTAGGTGTGGTTGTTAATAATTGTGAGTTTGCTATCATTTTACTGTACGTATTTATCTTCTTTTTCTTATATAAGTCCCTTTAACATTTTATATAATAAGGGCTTGGTGATGATGAACTCCTTTAACTTGACCTTATCTGGGAAGCACTTTATCTGCCCTTCCATTCTAAATGATAGCTTTGCAGGATAGAGCAATCTTGGGTGTAGGTCCTTGCTTTCCATGACTTGGAATACTTCTTTCCAGCACCTTCTTGCTTGTAAGGTTTCTTTTGAGAAATCAGCTGACAGTCTATGGGCACTCCTTTGTTAGGTAACTGTCTCCTTTTCTCTTGCTGCTTTTAAGATTCTCTCCTTCATTTTAATCTTGGGTAACGTAATTATGTTGTGTCTTGGTGTGTTCTTCCTTGGGTCCAACTTCTTTGGGACTCTGAGCTTCCTGGGCTTTTTGGAAGTCTATTGCCTTTGCCAGAATGAGGAAGTTTTCCTTTTTTATTTGTTCAAATAACTTTCCCACTTTTGCTCTTCCTCTTCTCCTTCTGGAATCCCTATAATTTGGATGTTGGAACATTTAAAGATGTCCTGGAGGTTCCTAAGCCTCTCCTCATTTTTTAAAATTCTTCTTTCTTCATTCTTTTTTGATTGGATGCTTCTTTCTTCATTCTGGTCCACTCCATTGATTTGAGTTTCAGTTTCCTTCCCATCACTATTTGTTCCCTGTACATTTTCCTCCATTTCACTTAGCATAGCCCTCATTTTTTCATCTAATCTGTGACCAAATTCAACCAGTTCTGTAGGCATCCTGATCACCAGTGTTTTGAACTATTCGTCTGATAGGTTGGCTATCTATCTGTTTGTCGCTTAGTTGTATTAGTTCTGGATCTTTGATCTGTTCTTTCATTTGGGTCATTTTTTTTGGTGTCAGCGCACCTGTTATGTATGAGGGTTGGAGCCTTAGGTATTCACCAGGCGAGTCAACCCAGTGGCTGTGTTGTGATGCGTATGTGGGGAGGGGTCTGAGAGGGAACAGTGGCACTTGCTCCACTCTCTGCTGGATTTCAGTCACTTCCCCCGCTTCCCACAAGCAAAATAGGCCCTTCTGTTGTTGATTTCTGGGTGGGTGCGTTTGTGTACATCCTAGGACCCTGTGGGTCTCTCCAACGAACTCTCTTGTGAGGCTGGGAGCTTCTGCCAGCGCCTCACCCCCACAGGTGTTTTCAATCGGTGTTTTGAAGCTTTATTTCCCTGCGATGGGACCATGAGTTGCGGACTGTCTCCCTTATTTGTGTGCGAATTTGGGACCACCCGGTCCACCAGCCACCTTGTGCACTGCACCCCTCCACAGTCTGCTGCCTCACTGGGTCTGCCAGCTGCTGCCTTGTGTGCCCGGGTTCTGCCAGCCACCACTTTGCTGCGACCCCTCTCTGCCCAGCTGCCCAATTCCTACCAGTCTAGATAAATGTGTCAACTTTAAATTTTTGGTTGTCGGACTTCCACACAGTTCAATTTTCTGTCGGTAAAGAAATTTTACAATCAATTTTTGGTTGTTTTTCTTTTCTAAAGTGTTGTTGTCCTTATTTTGCTTGTGGGAGGAGGCACAGTGTGTCTACCTACACCTCCATCTTGGCCGAAAGTCGTTTTTAAATTTTTTTTTATTTTAATTGTTGTTCAAGTATAGTTTTCTGTCTTTTACTCCCATCTCAGCCAACCCCCCCGCCCCCAGTGCTCCCCACCTTCCTCCCATTTTCACCCTCCTTAGTTGTTGTCCATTTGTCCTCTATACTTGTTCCTGTAAACACTTTCCCTTTTCCCCTGAAATTCCCTCCCCTCTCCCCTCTGGTCACTGTCAGCCTGTTCTCTATTTCAGTGTCTTTGGTTATATTTTGCTTGCTTGTTTGTTCTGTTGTTTAGGATCCTGTTAAAGGTGAGATCATATGGTATTTCACTGCTTGGCTTATTTCATTCAGCATAATGCTTTCCAGTTCCATCTATGCTGTTGCAAAGGGTAGGAGCTCCTTTCTTTCTGCTACATAGAATTCCATTGTGTAAATGTACCATAGTTTTTGGATCCATTCATTTACTGATGGGCACCTAGGTTGCTTCCAACACTTGGTTGTTGTAAATTGTGCTGCTATGAACATTGGGGTGTATAGGTTCTTTTGGATTGGTGTTTCAAGGTTTTTAGGATATAATCCTGGCAGTGGAATTGCCGGGTCAAAAGGCAGATCCATTTTTTGTTTTCTTAGAAAATTCCATACTGTTTTCTATAGTGGTTGTACCAGTCTGCAATCCCACCAACAATGACCTAGGGTCCCCTTTTCTCCACAACCTCTCCAACACTTGTTGTTTGTTGCTTTGTTTATGATGGCCATTTTGACCAGTTCAAAGTGCTATCTCATTGTGGTTTTAATTTGCATCTCTCTTGATAGCTAGTGATATTGAGCATCTTTTTATGTGTCTCTGGATCCTCTGTATGTCCTCCTTGGAGAAGTGTCTATTCAGGTCCTTTGCCCACTTTTTTAATTGGGTTGCTTGTCTTCTTAGAGTGGAGTCGTGTAAATTCTTTGTATATTTTGGAGATTAAACTCTTGTCTGAGGTATCATTGGCAAATATATTTTCTCATACAGTTGGTTCTCTTTTTATTTTAATGTTCTTTTCTCTAGCCATGCAGAAGCTTTTAATTTTGATGAGATCCCATTTGTTTATTCTTTCCTTTATGTCCCTTGCTCTAGGGCACATATTACTTAATATGTTGCTATGTGAAGTATCTGAGATTTTCCTGCCAAGGTTCTCCTCTAGGACTTTAATGGTGTCATGGCTTATATTTAAATCTTTTATCCACCTTGAATTTATTTTTGTGTATGGTGTAAGTTGGTGCTTAAGTTTCATTTTATTGCACCTAGCTGTCCAGTTCTGCCAATACAATTTGTTGAAGAGGCTATCTTTACTCTAATTTATGTTGCTGCCCCCTTTGTTGAATATTAATTGACCATAGAGACTTGGGTTTATTTCTGGGCTCTCTGTTCTGTTCCATTGGTCCATGTGCCTGTTTTAAGCCAGTACCAGGCTGTTTTGATTATAGTGGCCTTGTAATACAGTTTGGTATCAGGTGTTGTGATCCCTCCTACTTTGTTCTTCTTTCTCAAAATTGCAGCAGCTATTCTTTCTGAGGCTTCCTCCTTTCCTTTCATTTGGGGATTGTTTCTTTGTCTTCCCAGTGTTTGTGAGACTCTTCTTGTTAGCTTCAGCTTCTAAAATTGATCTGTTCTGGTTCCCTGGGTTTATGGTGTGAACTTCTGTGGTAGAATACCTGTGAGATTTAGTGGTGCAGCCTCCTTAATCTCCCAAGCTCACTGGTCTTGGGCTGTCGTTTAAGTTGGCTCTATGTTTGTCTTTGGGTTTTGATTGTTTTGGGGTCTTTCTTTGGCGGGTCCTTCCCACCAGCTTGTTAACTGAGGGTCACTTTGTCCACCACATCTCGTATTTTGTGCTGGTGAGGGCAGGTTGTGTTGAAGCTGGTTCTTCTGTGTGTGCAAGATTTTGAGGATTCTCTTTTGCTCTTGTTAAGTTGTTTTTAGTGGGTAGTTTCTCCACTATCTAGTTGTGTTTCCAGATAGGTCCTGGGTTGAGGTTTGTGTGGTTTCCAGTGCCTCCTTCGCCTTCTTCTGTTGTTGTCTGTTGTTGGTTCCTTTGTTGTTGGGTTTCCTCTTTCAGTGGGTGTCCTGGTGTTCACTGCTTTCACTTACTGTTTTTTGTGATCAGTTGGAGGGGAAGGCAAAGTGGTTTAAGACAGCAAGAGAGTATTCTATGATATTTATATTAGCAGCTGGTAGAGAAGAGATAGGAGATCCTTTGACTATGTATGTTAATCATGATTTTCCACCCAATTAGCCACTTTTAAGAAAGGATGGAAAGAAGATAAGACTCTTGTTGGGGAGGGAAGGATTGTGAGTTGGATCTAGAAAGCAGAGAGGTTGTGGGAGGTCAGATTTTGAGGTAAGGTGAGAATAAAGAATAGTAAATAGGTGTAGTGTGTGAGAGAATAGAGTTAACCACTACAGTAATAGAGTTCAGGAAACCGTGAAGTGGGCTAAGATGCGGGAGGGGTGTTTTGAAGTATTTACAATTGTATGGAACAGCTGTTATTCACAATAATATTAGAGCAGTAATCATATGACAGAATCTGTGTGGTCCGGGTAACAAGAATAAGGGGTATAGGACCCATAGTAGTGTGCTAATGGAACACAAGTGATGTGAAGGACAGTAAATTAGCAATACACTGTGAAAGAGAGAACAGGGGAAACCTGTCAAATGGGACAGTATAACCAGCCAAGCAAAGAAGACTGTACAGAAAGAAGAATACAAAAATACCATCAAAATAAAAGATGTAAGAATAATGAAAAAAATAATACAAATATGCACTGACTTGCAGTTCTCTGCAATAGCAAAGTGAAATTTGTCTCACTGTCTCAGCTGTTGGGGTGCCCCCTCTTTGGGTCCAACTCTGGTTTTTTCACAGTTCTAAATTTTTTTGTCTCAATTGTGGGTATTTAAAAAAAATGCAGAAGGGTGGGAGAAGAAATAAAATTGGAAACAAAGAAGGACTAAAACACGACAGAAGGAAAGAGAGGAAAAAGGTATTGAAAAACAAAACAATAATAAAAATTTTTTAAATGTAAGATTACTAAAAACAAACAAACAAAAACAAAAAAACACCTCTTGTTGGTTTCAAACTGGCCAAACAGGTTTTTTTTGGTCTTATTGGCTGCAGCAAGCTAAGGTGCGATCGGTATGACTATTTTCTCTTCCCTATGTGTACTCAGGCAGTCTTGCCAGCGCTCTCCCAAGAGCTAGTCTTGGCGCCTCTTCCCAGCGCCTTTGGTGTGGGATCCAGGTGTTCCACAGAGGCTCTTATCCCAGAGTTACGGCTGTGGGCTGGGTTGCAGGTGTGCTCTGCCATGCTGCCTCAGTCCCTTCCCAGTGGTATGGGGGTGCGCAGGGTCTTCCTCGCGGCCTTCTGTGTGCAGCCTTCTGCACCATCTTGGGGTCTCTGCCTGGCTGGGTGGGGAGGAAGTCTAGCAGCAGTCACAGGAGAATTCCCCAAACAGGTTTTCTTTTTGAGAAATTCCTCCTACTCAAGCCTTCTGCTCTGTACAGCCCAATTCTCCAGCCAGACTGGTGACTATCGGGGTCAGTGTGCATCACTGTGTTGTGACCCTCAACTCTTCCAAGCCAGAGACTACAGTTTCCGCAGGTTATCCCGGTCTCTGTGTGTTTGCCTCTTTGTCCTTATTCCCCTCTCTTCAACTTCCAGCAACCAGGTCTCTTCTGGTGTTGCTTAAACCTTGTTTGGCCAGGGAGGGAGGGAGCAGTTGACCCAGCTCTCTGCCGTGGAGTTTGTGGTAGACCCAGCACTGGTACTGGGTGCCGGGCCTGGGGCAACAGCCGCCCCGGTTCGCATGCTGATCCCTGGAACCTTATTGTCCTGAAGCACACTCCTTACCGTTTGGTTTTTCAGTGTCCACTACAATTTCTGGTCTCTTATTTTCATATTTCCTGGGGTACTGTTGGCTGTTTGCTCTGTTCCCCCATAGATTGGCTAGGTTTTTCTCCCAAGTGTAGGGGGAAGTAGAATCTGTTCCCTCCTACCTTGTCGCCACCTTCCTTCTCCCTATTTTTTGTTTTTTAGGGGTAGTTTTTTTTTGGTCCTTTTTACATGCCAAACTTTTTTCTGTTTCAGAGTTTTTGAATGTGCTCTGTATTATGCCTGAAACATTCTTCTAGATTTTTCCAGTGGTTGTCTCCTTATCATTGAGCTTTTTTCCCTGACTGCTTTAGGTAAAATAACTCTTTCCACCTTACAGCTCCCACTCCCCACATTATTTCTCAGTTCTGTTTTATTTTCTTTATTATACTTATCACTGTCTGATATTATGTATTTCTTTATGGATTTACTCTTTATCTTTCTGTACTACACTGAGGTCTGTGAAGGCAGGGATTCTTTTGTTTACTGTCATGTCCCAGCATCTAACTGTGCCTGGCACATAATAGTTGCACAATAAATATTTCTTGAATAAATGACACAAGGCAGAATATGTGAAGTGTTTTAATAGAAATGTAACGTGCAACATACATTTGTTTGCAGAAGGAGTGTTTATTCTCAGTGGGGGACCAAGGAAGGCTTTGTATACAAAGGTGACACTTGGCCAGACATGGAAAAGGATGAGTAACACTGGGATAGATTGAGTGGAAGATGAGAAGGAAAGAACAGGAGGAAAAAAACACAGAAAGTATCTGACCAAGGAGCAGCAAAAGAATATTTAACTCAAATATATTTTCCCTGAATATGTTTCTCTACTTTATTTCCTTTTGTTTTAGTCTTTTGGAATTTAACACATTATCACTTGAGGTCATTGGCTTTCATTCAACAGTCAGAAGTTAAATTAGAGCAGCAAACATAGGGTATTCCACTGTTTAAAAGTTAAAATGTTGTTCAAGAAATGGAAAAAATTTAGAGTCAGTTTTTATTCAATACACTTGTATGACTTCATTCTTAATTTCTATGTAACCAACTCAGATCCTTTCTGGAAGTAGGCAGGAATTCAGTTCCAAGAAAACAATAAACAAGGTTTTGGAAAAGGACCCTGATGTACTTTGAATTTCTATCTTCCCACTTTTTGTAGAGGAAATTCTGGAGAAACAGAATTAAATAAGTAAACCTAGTTGTTTATGGGTATTGATAGAGGAGATATTTTCTGGTGTGTCATTTACTTATAAACTAGAAATTTTAGTGATTTTAAATTGTTTTTTGTTTACAGCCACGTTCCAGATTGTCATCAGTTTTTCTTAAGGGTCCAGGAAAAGTGGTGATGGTTGCCATTTGTATGTAAGTGCTAAAAAAATAAGCCCTTTAAAATAGAATATATTATTTATGTATATATTCTTGAATTATAAATTTATCAGTTGGCATCTAACAGAGTTAGAGGTTTATGTTATTACAGGAAGTTGAATGTCTTTGTTTTTGTCAGTAAATTGATGGAGAAGAGTCCATATAAATACCCATGTTTGTGCTATGTACATATTTTTTTTATTGAATTTATTCAATAAATTCAATAAAAAAGAAAATTCAATAAATTTTATTGAATTTATTCAATAGTTAGTTGACATTAGTTAATAATGCCATTAGGTAGTAAAAGTAGTTAATAAAAGTAGGTTAATAATACCTACTTTTAGTTAATAAAAGTAGGTAGGTTTCAGATGTACAATTCTATAATAGATCTTCTGTATATTGTATTGTTACCTAAAAGATAAGTTCTATCCACCCCACGTTGTGCTGTGTGTATTTTTAATGTGGTTAAGTAAGATCTCAGAAGAGTTGCAATCTGAAAATTGTTTCTTATTTTCATTGAAATTGATAGAAGTCTTTTTAAAGAAGTGGAGATAGCCAAGGTTATTTTTAGAGTAATTCAATCAACCTGGATTATAGCTATTGAAGAGTATCTGCACTCTTATTTTTCTCCCACTTGCTGTAAAACAGTTGATATTTTTGCCATCTTTTATCCTCTGTCTTCTTGATCCCTCTTGTTTTATCTTTTCTCCATTTTGTTGAATAATCTATATAAAAATGTTGAAAAGCATTAATTCCATAATTCATTAGTTCTTTTATTTTGGAAATATATATATTACATGCGTCAAGAATTGTGATAGGGTTAGGAAATACAATGTTATTTTCAAGAATTGGAGGGGCACTAAACTAGAAGAAGTCGTGTGTAACAATACAGATGTGCTACACTAAGGGAGTGGTGGTAGGGATAGAGAGACCTGGTGCGGTTCGGAAGGTATTTAGGGCAGATGGAAAAAAGGATGTTGCCTACATTTCTGACCAGTTAGATAGATACTGCACCATCACAGAGAGAAGGAGGGTCAGGGTGGAAGCAGAGGAAATGTGGAGGTCAGTTTTCAGTTTAAGTTTTTGTAGATCACCCAGGCGGAGTTGGTCAACAGGATTAATTTTGCCAGTAAAATGGGATTAGCAATTAAAGTTTCCTTTGTCAGAGGAATTTATATAATATATTTTAACTATGCAGCAGTTAAGTACCTGGTACATAATATGTACTTCGTAATTATCATTAATATATAATCTGAAGCTCAGGAAGGAGATTTGGATTAGAGATTTAGAGTTGAGAGTTAGTGTATAGATGATAATTAAAGCCATGGGAGAATGTGTATAGTATGAGGAAGAAAAACTCTCAGGAAAAATGCTTGATGAGGGCTAACATTTAGGAAATGAGTAGAACAAAAGGAGCCTACTGAGGAAGAATAAGGAGCAAGATAGGAAGAAAACCAGGAGCTTCATGGACGCCAAAGAAGACAGTGATTTGCAGAAATAGTGGCAGCCCTGGCTGGTGTGGCTTAATGGATTGAGTACAGGCTGTGAACCAAAGGGTCACTGGTTCAATTCCCCATCAGGGCACTTGCCTGGGTTGCAGGCCAGGTCCCCAGTAGGGGGCACATGAGAGGCAACTACACATTGATGTTTCTCTTCCTCTCTTTCTCCCACTCTTCCCCTCTCTAAAAATAAATAAACAAAGTCTTTAAAAAAGAAAATAGTGGTAAATGCTTTTGTGAGATTAAGAAAAATACTAAAATGTTTTCAGGAACTTTATAGCAAGAAGTAGTTGGTGGTATTGGAAACAGCCATTCACCCATTATTTAGCCAATTGAAGACTGTGAGTAAAACTGAGAAGCAAGAGCAGACATGATTCTTCCAGGACATTTGTTTGAAGTGGAGGAGAGGGAATAAATGGAGGAAGGGGTGTACAGTTTCCTCCTTTATAAAATGATGTTAGTATTTGTACAATAGAGGTATAATAAATCATGGTAAAGGGTTAGTATGGTGCCTCAGGTAAGTCATGCTAGTCATTACTGCAGGCATCTGAGCAGCTGGCAGGCTCAGAGCTAATCATACTTTATTTGAACATCTGTGGTCGACTATGACCCAGAGACTGCTGGGTCTGTATTTGTGTTCACCTATTTAACAGCCCTTCACCAAAGTTTTGCCTTTGACATTGCCTTTGGTCTACTGGACCATATTGAGTGAACATCTTCTTTTACCTATTTAAGAGACATAATTTTCTTTCTAATTTTATTTTGTTCAAATGTAGAACATCTTCTTTTCTCATCAATTCTCAAAATGCACTTAATTTGCTTACATACATCATACCTCTTCATTTGAGTATTTAATAATACCATACTCTGTAATTTTCATATTTGTACTCTGTTACCTAAAAGATAAGTTCTCGAAGGCTGTAGATTCTTTTTAATTTGCTTTAAACATAATCTAGTATAGAGGTATATATAGTCAAATAAGCTTTTGGTGAAAATTTTTGTCTAAACCAATGCTAAATTGTTTTCTCTTTCTCTCCTAGCAATGGATTAAATTGCTTCTTTAAATTTCTTGCGTGGATTTATACGGGTTCAGCAAGTATGTTCTCTGAAGCTATACATTCTTTATCTGATACATGTAATCAGGTGAGAGGTAAAAGCTTTTTTTTTTTTTTACTAATTTTAAAGTAATTTTTTTACTGCTTTAATCTAAAAGTTAGCCTGTTTAAAAACTAAATAATTCCTATAGTTGGCATGTGGAAGAAAAAGAAAATTGTTTGACTTTTGAATGACAAAGTTCATAGAAATATGATCACGGTATTTTAAAGCAGGATGTTAGGCTCTAAGAACTTCCAATAGTAGAATATGAAGTATGAGATTATCAGTCACTTAGTGTTTGGGCAGAAGTTTTTGTAGAGGAAATTCTTGTGTTAGGTGGAAATTTCATGTCTAAATATGCGTTCTTACAACTCTAAGTGCCAGTGCATTTCACTTGTTTGAATAACGATATAAATTACTCTCATGTAGTTGGTGAATTCAAATTTCACATTAGACTAGTATTTTGAATTCCCTTCCTGAATTTGCAAATGAAGAAAGATTTTTATAAAGTTAAAATACCTTCTTTGATTCAAATTTTAAATACTACAAACCTAAGCCTTTTTAAAAAACAATAAAAATGTATGCTTGTGTTACTATTTACATTTTTAAAGAATGTAGTATATTGATAGAATGCTTTCTCAGTATTTATTTATTTATACTTCTGTTCATGTAAATATGAATTTGAGAGAACTTACAATAAAAGGTTCAATAAGAATATTTAAGACATAATTAAAAAATAATAAAATTATAGGGAGTAGGGAGAGCAATCTCAGATAAAAATTAAACTCAAGGACTCACCTAACTGATTCAGATGGTTTGCAAAAGTAAGGAAAGAAGTCAGACATTTGCTGTTCGTACTAACAAATCTCTTCTTTGAATTAAATTTTTGTACAGTAAATACATAATAACTACTATCAATATATTTTCCCAGTTGATTGTGGAATGGAGGGAAGGGTGGGGTTGGGGAGAGAGACGTAACACAGTATGTCTATTTTATTGAAAGCTTATTTGAACTTAAGAAAATTGAAATGCAAAAATATTTGGACACATGGACAAAGAGATACATCCAGATTATTAATTTCATTCTTAGTTATTATTAAAACATTGAAGATAGTTTTTTAGTGTCCATATTGTGAAGTACTATTCAGGGGTTTAAAAGAATATATAGGTATAAGCTATGTACTGACCTGAATAACAACATAATTTGAGTACAAAAATCAAGTTGTAAAGCATTATGTGAAAAACTTCTGTTTCTAGCCGTGATGATGGACTAATAGGGACTGAACTTAGTATTTTGCTGTAAACAACTAAAAAACTAGATAAACTATATGAAACTGTTTTCAAACTTTGGACAATAACAGAACAACACCATAATACTAAGAGAAGAGAAACAAATGAGTTGAACTGGATGATTTCTGGCCTTTTTCTAGGAGGCACATGTGGAATAGTGGAGCGAAGTGGGAGATACAAGTCTCGTTGAATTGAGAAGGCAGAAAGAATTTAGAGTGTGAGGAGGCTAGAAATTACAAGGCAGAGTTCCACAGAGGATAACAGCTCTGAAGGATCAAGCTGTAACTTAAATTACCTGCCAGAATAAAGCCCCACACTCTAGAAGGAAGACAACAAAATCCATACACTCAGTATAACATTCACAGTGTAATAATTAACCAAGAAGCAGAAAATCTGATTTATAACCAAGAGAAAAATCAGTCAATAGAAACAGACTCAATTAACATATGATAGAATTAATAGCTAAGAATGTTAAATGGCTGTTATGTTCATATATTGAAAGGAAAACATGGCCCTGGCTGGTGTGGCTCAGTGGATTGAGTGCTGGCCTATGAACCAAAGGGTCGCTTGTTCAATTCCCAGTCAGGACATGTTGCCTGGGTTGCAGGCCAGATCCCCAGTAGGGGATGCATGAGAGGCAACTACACATTGATATTTCTCTCCCTCTCTTTCTCCTTCCCTTCCCTTCTCTCTAAAAATAGATAAATACAGAAATATTTTTTAAAAGGCACTAAATGGAGATTTTAGAGCTGAAAATATATCTGATTTGAAAAATTAACTTTATAGAGTTAATAGCAGATTAGACACTGTGGAAAAATGAGGAGTGCTCTTAAATATATAGCAGTAGAAAATGGTCATACTAAAGGAAAAAGTCTGAAAAAAATGAAAGGAGACTCAGTGACCTGTGAGACAGTATCAAGAAAATAACTATCAAACATTTAAGGAAGGAATCATACCAGTAATACAGACTTTCAAATATAGAGAAGAAGGAAATTTCAAGTCCTCTAATAAGGCCAGCATAACCCTGATATCAAAACCTTACAAAGACATCACATGAAAGAAAAATACAGACTAGTATCCCTCAAACACAGGTGCAAAAATCCTTAAAATATAATCAAATTGAATCCAGTAATATATGAAAATGATAATAACCATAGTAAATGAGTATTCTAGGAATATAAGGTTAGTTTAACATTCAAGATCAATAGGTATAGAAGGCTGCTACGCAAAAATCACTTGCAGTTCCACTATCAGCACACAAATGGAGAATGAAATTTTAAATACATTCTGTTTAACATTAAATAATATTAAATACTTAGGAGTAAATTTAATGAAAGATGTGTAAGACTTTTATACTGAAAACTTAAAATGTGCCGGCAGAAATTAAAGAAGACCTAAAGAAATGGAGAGATATACCATGTTCATGAATTGGATGACATGGTGTTAGTATGACAGAGCTCCCTAAATTGTCCTATAGATTTAATACAACTCCAATTATCACAAGCAGACTTCTTGTGATAGAAATTGAGAAACTGAATACATTCAAAAATTTATATGGAAATGCAAAGAACTCAATATTCAAAGCAACCGAAAACAAAAGAAATTTGGAGAACCTCAAAACTTACCATAAAACTACAGTGATTAAAACAGGGAGATACTGGCCCAAGGATTTACAGGCTAGTGTGACTGAACAGAGGATGCAGCAATAGGATCACAGTTACACGGACACCTGATTTTTGACGAAGGCATCAAAGCAGTTGTATGAAGAAAGGAAACTCTCTTCAACAAATGGTGCTGAAAAGGTTAGATAGCTTTATGGGAAAAATTAAAAGTATCTTGACTCCCTCTTTAGACCATATACTTGAGGTAGGTCATAGGCTCAAACATAACAGCAAAAACTGTAAGGATTCTAAAGAAAACCTAGGAGACTATCCCCCAGATCTTTGGGTACATATAGATTTATAAAGCAGGACACAGAAACAAAACCATAAAAGAAAAAATATTACAGATGAAACAACATAAATTGAAAACTTTTTTATTAAAAGACATTCTTAAGAAAATAAATAGGCAAGCCACAGATTAGGAGGAAATATTTACAAAGCATATAGTAATCTGACAAAGGATCTTCGGTATCCAGGATAAATAAAGAACTTCTGCAACTCGGTATTAAAAAGACAACTCAGTTTCTTTGAGAGGTTCTGTATTTGAACAGGTCCTTCACAAATAAAGATACATGAATGGGGGCCAGTGGGCACGTGGAAAAGTCATAAGGAAATGTGTATTAGAACCCCAAGAAGACATCTCCGTATGTCTGGTGTAGTGGCTAAATTGAAAACCCCTGATGACCAAATGTTGGTGAAAAGGTGGAGCAGCTAGACTTCTCAGACGTTGCTGGTGGAGTGTGAAATGTTAAAACCATTCTTGGAAATGTTTGTGTTTCCTGTAAACATATGCCTAATGTATAATGCAGCAATTCCACTTCTGAGTATTTTCCCAAGAAAAAATGGGAATGAATGTCTACAAAGACTTGTATGGGAATGTTTACAACACCTTTACTTATAATAGACAAAAATCTAAATTAACCCAAATGGCCGTCAAAGTGGAGGAGATAAACAAACTGTTGCATAGTGTATTCAAGTAGTGATTATGTAGCAATAAAAAATGAAATACTTGCCCAGTAAGAAGCACATATTTATCTCCAACAATATGCTGAGTAAAAGAAGGCAAACACAGTACAGTACTTACTGTGCGATTCTACTTATATGAAGTTCTAAGTAGAACTTCTTAGTCTTTGGTTAAAAGGCTCAGAAAATGGTTCTGTCAGCTGTGGGGAAGACTTGCTGAAAAGAGGCCTGAAAGAATATTTTTGAGGTGGTGCCAAGGGTCTGGGTCTTTATAGGAATATATGTTTCAGGTATGTGGATTTTTCAAACTCAGCTGTATGTAGTCAGGGTTTGTACATTGCATTGTATGCGAATTTTAGCTCAAAATTTTAAATTTTCATAGGTGAAATGTGAATACTATAATATGTAGACTTTTGTTAATATTGAGCACTTAGCATTGAGTTTTAAAAGTCTGATAATGGTCTTGTGACTATATTTTCTAAAAGACTTAGGTTTTTTTAGGCATTCATCCAAGCTCTTTAAAAATTAGATGGTGTGATGCTTGGAATTTACTTCAGAGTATTCATAGGGAAGTAGGTACAGAGTAGGTAAAACAGATATGGTCTCATGTTTGTAATTGTCAAAGCTGAGTAATGGATGCATTGGGTTTATTGAAATGTTCTGCTGGTTTTTGTTTTGTTTTGTTTTAGACATCCATCTGTACATTGGAAATTGTCCATAAAATTAAGCAAAAGACATTATATAGATTGTGATCATATTTTTTCAAAATGCATACACAACACTCTCTGCAATCCGGTATTGTCTTTATATGCAAAACAGCATTAAAAATTATATACAGTTGTACATAAAGGTAGTGTGAAACATATTCCAGACCCTTAAATGGTTCCCTCTCTACTGTTTGATTTTCTTTACAATGAGCATGTGTTAATTTTGTAACTAGAAGAACAAATTAATTTTTGTAACAGATTGAATAGCAGTAGAATTAAGTATTAAGGATTAATTTATATGAATGTATTGCACACTTGAGTTTGATGTGTATTGAGAGTTTAGAAGACATGGTCCTTGCTCTGTCTTCTGTCTTATACCCCAAACAACCAGAAAATATTCTGAGACAGCATTTAAGCATGATAGTTTGAGGAAATCCATAAAAGGGAAAGATGATTGCAGAAGGGGGAGCATTAAGTATTAGAAACCAGAATGACTGGGCTGTTGGACATTGTTTATATAGTGTTTCTTTGTCATTTACAGATTGCATCCTCTGGATTGGCTTTACCACATTATACTCTCTATCTTGCTGATGATTATTTATTTACCCTTTTCTTTCTTCGTAGGGTTTACTAGCATTGGGCATCAGTAAGTCTGTTCAAACACCAGATCCTACTCATCCGTAAGGAAATTGCTTTTATGTTTTTGTTTGTTTTGGTAGCAAGTCATTAAAATAAAAGCAACTGAATTTTAGGAACCTGCTGTTTACCTGCAGTTTGTGTTAAAGATTTAGTTATTTCTTCTACTAAAGCATCTATGATGTAGGACTCACTGCTCTAAGTAAACAACATATAATTTGAAAAGGAATTTAAATTATTTGTATGCTTTGTAACATGGCCTAGATCTTGGTTGTTGTTTTTTGTTTGTTTGTTTTCCCCAAAACAAAGCACATATTTTTTTATCTTTTTTACTTGGTCAAGGGAAACATACATTTCATACTTAGATTAATAGGCCACTCAATCTAAAAGCTTAGCATTAACTTCTAGTAAATCCATTCTTAATCTGTTTTAAGCCTCCTGCTGTGATTTGAAATAGCATTCTGTTAATATTTCAAATTATTTATTTGTAAGATATGTATGCTTCTTAGAATATATTATTTTGAATCCTACTAGTTATTTGATACAGAGATTTTGTTGTTGTTATTGCTTCTAACATAACCAGCTAAACTTTTGAATCCTATATGTATCATTTTTCAGACCTCGCTTTAGTAGTAGAATTTGATCAACCTTAAGTAAAAAGTGTACTTTTATTTCTGTAAAGGAGTCTGCCTCGGTGCTTTATAAAAATGCCTTTCTTTGTTTGAAAACAAGACACCGCGGTTTTCTTATAAATAGTAACATTTTTAATATTATTTTCCTCTGATGAAAATTATACACCAAAATTTTAAAAACAGGGTAAAAACTTAAAATTTTAGGTTGTAAAGATTTCTTTTCAAGGTATTTTCAATAACTTCAGTGCTGCCCGGTAGACTTTTTTACAAAAATCTGTTTTAATATAATAGTCACTAAGCATATGTGGCTGTTGAGCACTTGAAATGTGGCTAGTGCAGCTGTGGCTAGTGTACTGCACTTAAAATTTTATTGAGTTTAATTAATTTCAATTTTAATAGCCTTAGGTAGCTAGTGATTTATTTTGGACAGTGCAGATCTACTGAGTTAAAATTTTCAGTAAGAACCTACAAATTTACTGAAAATACATAATGAAAGTTATGCTATTTAATTTATATCTTCATTTACTTTAACACACATATCTACATATATACACACACATATATGTACACATATATATATATATACATACGAGGTCTGTCCAGAAAGTCTCCAGCCACGTAATATGAAAAACAGAGACATTTATTGAAGAAGATACAAGATACAAGGAACACTGTACATAGGACAGTGATGTTTTAGTCCCCTTCAGAGTAGGTACCCAGTCACCATCAGCTGCCCTGTCATTTTCCTGAGTCTCACCAACAGTCTGAAATCTCTTCCCTTTCAAAGGTGATTTGAGTTTTGGGAAAAGCCTGAAGTTTCAGGATGCCAAATCTGGGCTGTAGAGGGGCTGAGTCACCTGGGTGATTTGATGTTTTGCCAGAAAACTCTGCACACGATTTGATGCATGAGCAGGTGCGTTGTCATGATGAAGCTGCCAATCACCAGCTGCCCAGAGCTTCAGCCTTCTCAATCATCCGAATAGTTTCTGTGGAGGACTATTTAAGCTCGGCTCAAAATTTGATGCAGATTTGTTGCTCTACTCGCTCAGTCATTTTGAATGTGACAGCCACACAGTACACATATTCAGTCAAGGGTGTCTATCATCTCACTGCTAGTACAGTGAAGTTGTCATTGTTCCCACAAGCACATTCCAGTCCACTCTCCTTGACTGCCAGGTTACATCAACATTGATAAACCATTCTTGTTATATTAACAGTGACTGGACTTTTTCCAGACAGACCTTATATGTGTGTGTGTGCGTGTGTGTGTGCATGTGTGTATATAGAGAGATATATATGTATATTTATATGTATATGTATGTATGTATCTCCATCTCCTGTATTACTTTGGTGGGGGAAACTTTTAGAAGAAAATAAGTTTTTCTAAAGCAAGCTTGTAAAACACTATCACATCTATAAACTAAGAATTGCCTATGTTAGAATTATATATTTACAAAAAGAATTTAAAAATCAGTTTTTAACAAGAATTCTTATTTAAATTTTCATCCACCAAAAGGGTGCCATATATTTGGGTTTGGAAATAAATTTCCTAGGAAATATTTTTATCAATGAATGATTCTTTTCCTTTTATAGTATGTCCTATTTTTTAACTTAATGCTCAGTATTTAATTGGTACATACAGAAATACAAAAGAATGCACATAGAAAACAAATATGCTTGAAAAATAATAGAGATTTTAAAAAATTCTCATAAAAACACCCAGAAAACTGAACCTCTTAGTCCTAATAATAGTAATCAGTTGCTGTGTGCTAAACTATTATATATAACCAGCAACAACTATTCAGCATCAAATTATATGTAGTATAAATCGTCACAATAACTCAATTAAAAATTGTATTACAAGGAAATTTAAATATTATTCTGTTCATTAAACATCTGAAAGCATTTTTTAAAAGATTAATTTTACCAGCATTTGTACTACATAAAAGTAAAGTTGTTCTACTAAATCAAAATAGACTAACTGGTAAAGGAATTAGCAAGTACCTGTATTAAGTCATAGTCACTCAATTTATATGTTTTCAAAGATCTTGCAGGCTTTTCCACTCTATATGTTGATTTTTCTGATTAGATTGTGTTTGGCACTTAAACTTTACTTAAATATAAAACTATAACTTATAATATTGTAAGAACTTTTTATTTTTGTTTTAATTGACCTAGTAAACATATTTTGAAAGGAAACCATTTGTATTTCTTACAAAGTATATTATCGTTTTTATTTTCCAGGTATGGATTTTCAAACATGCGCTATATTGCTTCACTTATTAGTGGCGTTGGTATTTTCATGATGGGTGCAGGATTATCTTGGTACCATGGAATTATGGGATTGCTTAATCCTCAACCAATGGAATCCCTTCTCTGGGTAATCTCCCTCTGCTCAGTTTTTTAAAAAATATATTCCATTGATTATGCTATTACAGTTGTCCCAATTTTCCCCTCTCTGTCCCCCTCTGCCAGGTACTCCCACTCCCTTCAGTGATCCCGTCCCTTAGTTCATGTCCATGAGTAGTGCATATTCTTTTGCTTCTCCATTTCCTATACTATTCTTAACATTCCCCTGTTTTGTACCTACCAATTTGTACTTCTTTTTTAATTTTTTTATTGTTGTTCAAGTGCAGTTGTCTCTAATTTCCCCTCATCACTTCCCCCAACCCCAGTCATCCCCACTGTCCACCCTTCTGTGTTCATAGTGTGTTTCTGGACTATTTCTCCTGAGAAATTTGCATTTGGCAAGAAGCTTTTGGACAGTTGGTGTCAAGGCCCCCACTCAGTTCCATGTCTGGTCCTTTAAAACATATACCTTTAACACATTCTTTGTGAGAGTACAGTTTTTGCCCCAAACCCAGACATTTACTCTATTCATACAGCCAATATTAGTTAGAAGAATTGCCTATACATTTATTTTTCAGGTGTGCTATAGACACAGTTCACTGTGGTCTCTAACCTCTAGGGACACACATCCAGCTTTATTAGCAATCTCAACAGCTCAAGTTTTTTCCAAAGCAATCCTCACTTTGGCCTCCTGGGGGCGGGCTTTGCCTACAGAGCACACACCCCGCCCCCCCGCCCCCCAGTACACACACACCATCCACAGTGGATGAGAATAAATCCTACCAAAACATAGTCTGCTTGGGGAACCAAGGTGGCCAACCTCTGAAAGAAGAAGGGCCTGGAGCCTGTTCCTCAGTGGGTTTTTATTGGGTTTAATTTGCATAGGAATACAGGGCTTATATGTAAAACTCAGTCATTCTCAGGCAGTAATGATCAAGGAATAGATAACATTCTAAGAACTATAAGGGATTATTCTGAGTTAGGGTTGAAGAGATAAGAGTGAATGCCAAAGGGCAATAAAACTTTGGGAAACAAACCCATATTAGGTTTGGACCCTTATTTAACTTGAGGGTGTTCTTAGCAAAGCAGGTTTCACAGGATTTTATGCATTCTTTCTTAGGCCTGATTGCCCCAGAAACCCGCTCTTTCCAGCACAGGGCCACACCCACCTCTGGCGATGTTTCAGGCTTAAGTCAGGTGGGAGAAGTGAGGCAGCCAAGAGATTAGACTTCTTACAGACAGAATGAGGATTTAGGCTATGTCAAAGCCAAGAGGTGAGGATCCTTTACCCCCTTTTTGTAGTCCCCCCAAGTCCTTCCCCGATGGCCCCTTTGCAACAGTTCATGTCTTAGGTCACCCCTCCCTTGAGGAAGCTTACCTGTCATTGGTCCAGGGTCAAGCAGGGTGAAGTAAAGGGGGCAGAGGCAGTGCCCCTGCTGGGAAGATAAGATTTGTCTCTTTAGTGGCTTATGGTTCCAAGGTCTTTTTACTCAGCCTTAGCCATCCGGGGCTACAGCTTCTGAAACTAGACAGGGTGGTTCCCAATAGCCTCCTTAACCTCAGTTCAGCTTATGTGGGCTAGTTGGTGTGGAGCCAGGAGATATAAAACCAGGCTTGGATCACCTTCTGTGCAAGTCCTGAATAGATGGTATAGCACCACTTTTTGGTTATGTGGGATACTTGGAGCCTGCTGTGTTCTCAACTGGAGTGAGCCTCATTTTAACATCTTGTTACACCTGTACACCTACATAATAACAAGCCTGTTAAACTAGGCTTCTTCTACAGTTTTTATTGACTAGTTTCTTACTGTAATACATTTCATATAGTTAAAATGAAGAAGGATATTTCCTCCATCCTTCAAAGATTTGGCCACATTATAGATATCTTAGTGTTCATCTAATTTGTACAATATTAGTTTATAGAGGCAAAGAAGTTGATGACTCTGGAGTAAGGGACTGATTAAAGTTTCAATTGTGTTTAAGTTTTAAAACTTCTAGAAGCTTTTCTGTCATTTAGCAACTAAATGAAATTCCATCAAACTATGACTCTTTGTTAATAAATAATAGATTCAGCACACCGTAGACTAATTTATATTTATTAGGTATTATCTTGGAATCTTGGTGGATGTATCCTGTTTCCTTTTATTGGGTGATGAGCATGTCTTAAGTCCTTTCTGGAAGAAGGTAGAAGGACTAAAAAGAATTACTTGGAAGTTTAGTTGTCAGATTGGCAGCCTGTTTGAGTGGGAAGAGCCTGGGGTTGAAACCGGAAAGCCCGTGTCCCAGTTCTTCCTGTGATGTCTTTGGTGTGCTCACGCCAGTCACACAGCCTTTGGAGATCCTTAACAGAATTGGGAAAGTTTTGGACAGGGTTTGAAATGTCCAAACCTCCATTTTAGAGAAGGATAAGGGTCCAAAAATGTAATGTTAAAAATTCAACACATGATTGGTTTCAATTTCATTTAAAAATCTTTAAAAATTTTGTTGCTAGGTTAACTCTTTCTATGTACTTTGGATTAAAGTTACTCTCGATATCTTTATTAAATTCAAGAGTGTCTTGGGACTACAAGGAAAGTAATGTTACAGAAAAAAATTGATTACTTTTTATAGTTAGTTATCTTTCTGAGTCAGGGATCAGAAAGGATTCTTTTTGTCCTGGATATCCAGACAAATTTTACTTGACTGTGGGAGTGGATCTTACTACATCTTGTATTCACAGCCCCACAGTTCAAATATTTGTGTTAATTTTGAACTTGAAAATTTTTTATACTAATAACACTTTTATTTCTTAAATCATGAATGTAGCTTAGGTCATGGTACAATATTCTGTAATATAATGGTACAGTGCCTCATTTTGGATTGCGGGTACTGTGTAACCTGCCTGTTACTACATCTTATATTTGTACAGAATACCTCATATTTGTACAGAAAATAATACATAATATAAGAAATTCTGTTTTGTGTATTCACAACTGTAAACAAACCAACTTTTGCTCACCCCCGTATACATATAAAATATATATAACTCTTCTAAGTATTAAAAAATGAGATGACCATCAAATTTTTAAGTTTTTAGCTGTTTCCCCATATGAAGATGCCATCTATCTTTCCTCATTTGAGCTGTTTCCCATCAAGATCCTTATCTGTTTTGGATTCAAATTCGTGTTTCTGTTTTAAACATTACCAACTTTATGCATGAAGAATTGTTGGTTTTTAGAGAAATAATTAATTTATGCCTTATTTTAATACTTATTTTCTAGGCATACTGTATTTTAGCAGGATCATTGGTGTCTGAAGGAGGTACGTACTATCATAGTCACTCTTTATTCTTAATTTGGTGATACATATCCAGCAGTTCAGTAAAAAAAATGTGGAATGGGAATCTAAGCTTCATCTACTTTCAGGGAGCAGATTCCTTGTGTGATGCACTGTGGCTGATTCTGTAATGGATGAGCAAGGGAAAAGCCTTTTTTCATTTGAGTATCATATCCTAAAGCTTAGAACATTTGAAATGGGGTATAAAAGTATAACTACACACTGAATTTTAAACATTGAGATATAGTAAGTTAGAAAAGGCTATCTTTTTTGCTCTACAAGTATCTCAGTTTCTGAGAGCTTCAGCTACAGCAGCGTCATGAGAGAAGTGCTACTGTCACGTACGAAACTGCCTAGTTCACTGCTTTACTCACAGCACATTTGCTCTGCAACACTGTCACTTTCTGTACATAGTGTTTCCCTAACTTTTGACAGTTTATAAAATGGTGCTAATACCACCTGCCTCAAAAGGGTTGGGAGGACCAGAAGGGACTGTGGTCAGTATGGTACCTGCCAGATAGTACCTGTCCAATAAATTAAGGCTGTTGTCGTGGTAACGATTTTTAAGTTATGGTTTAGAAATACAGGATTCGTTATATTGTGATGATTAGTTGGGAGTCTTGATGATGACTAGTTAATGGAGAACTTTTCCTTATTTTCAACTCTGGCATTAGAGTATTGTGTATATGTATTTATTGTTTGAGATGGCATCTTTAAAGTTTAGAGGCATGAAGTTTCTTCCTTGCTGATATGAATGCTTTTCTTTCAGCAACACTTCTTGTTGCTGTGAATGAACTTCGTAGAAGTGCTCAGGCCAAGGGAATGTCGTTTTACCAGTATGGTATGTGTTTTAGAAACCAGGTGTATTATTTCATCTCTTATTTGCTTAAAATTGCCTAGTACTATTGCTTTATTCTTTAAGATATGTACAAAATATATCTCATTTTCTATGTGTGGCTTATGTTGTAAAACAAGAAATGTAAAGTAATTTGAACATGAATACTTTATGTTTGGATTTAACTTTACAATATTTCTGTATATGTTTATATAATTTGAGAAAGCAATTTGAAAATGTAAACCAAGAAGTTATTTTTGTGTTGAGCAGTGTTCTTAAAATCTGGAATCTCATGTATTTTTAAAATTAATTTTTATATTCATTTAATTTTTTTAAAGAGTTTATTTATTTTTAGACAGAGGGGAAGGGAGGGAGAAAGAGAGGGAGAGAAACATGAATGTGTGGCTGCTTCTCATGTGCTTTCTCCTGGGAATCTGGCCCACAACCCAGGCATGTGCTCTGACTGGGAATTGAACCGGTGACCTGTTGGTTCACAGGCTGACACTCAATTCATTGAACCATACCAGCCAGGGCCTGTATGCTCATTTTAAATGTATACTTATTTAAATGTTACCTGAGAGTATCAAATTAAGATTTAAGAACGTTTCTTTCTTGTCTCTCCACCAATGATTAAGTAATGCAAAGTCGTGATCCTAGTACCAATGTTATATTATTGGAGGATACTGCAGCCGTCTTGGGAGTGATAATAGCTGCCACTTGTATGGGCCTTACTTCTATAACAGGTAATTATTTCTCACATTACCAGTGATTTATTGGTACTGCTTACATAACTCTCTAATATGTGGAAATTTTCTTTATATCATTGAATAATTTTAAACCAGTTGATTGTTAGATGCTTATTTCATGCTAACCTAAACTAATAACTTCTTTGTATAAAACATTTGTTTAGTAAAAATGTAATATTTCTCTAAGTTAGGAATTTCTCTATGAAGTAAAGAAAACTGTTAATAGAGCATTTCTGTGATGCTATAGACCTTTCTAAACTGTGACTTAATAAATTATACAATTATTCTTTACCTCTAGAAGTATCAGTCTTTGTCCTGGGGACCTCACAGGTTTATTAAGATAAATGCAAGAGAGAACTTGAAGAAACCCTGAAGCTCTAAATAAATATATATTGTGGCTCTTGTTAATTGTCTTTTCCACTGTTAGTACCAATAGTAAGGGCTATTGCAAAACTTCCTTTTTCCTTAACTCTCAAGTTGGTTCCATTCTCATTTTGGTGATTAATGTTTTGAAGGCCAGTACCATAGAGATGAAGCAGAAGACAGAAGAATCATTTTATTTTTATTTTCTAAAAGAAAATCACATTTAGTATGTAAAGACTCAAATATCTCAGGTTGGAATTCTCTTGGAATGGAACTTCTTCCATTCTTAACCATTTGTTCTTGCATATTTCAAATAATTTGAGGTGATGAGCTCTCATAGTTCCACAGTGTTTCTTAAAATGCTCTGAAATATGCATAGGATTTTCTCATTTTGAATATACATTTTAGGACTAAACCATCATTCTCTGATGTTCACGGTGATCCAGGATATTACTGAAAGTTTTGATTGTTTCTCTGGTTGCCTTTATCATTTTAGACTTTTTTTGGATATAAATTATTACTTAGTAAAATTTTAGGCTTAAGAAAAGTATGATTGATGAATAAGTCAACTTTTAATAAGTTTTTTTTTATACAGTAATGTTAACCAGTCAAATCAAAGTTATAAAGTTTTTGTTTAAAGAGTATTTCACATGAATTAAATCTTATTTAGTTAAAATAATTTATTTAAGTTAAATAACATGTCAAGAAATAAATAAAATAACCTAGTGATTTCTGTAGGATTATTTATACAAATATTTTTTAAATAAAAATAGTTAGATTTAGATTTCTAAAAAGCAATGCATTTGATTTTGAAGTCTAATTATAGGCTTCCTAGTAGATTATATTTTACTTACAAGTGGATCACTTTTAACACTTTAGTACAGATAAGTCAGTTTACTTTATAGTGTTATATTTTTGACTAAATGTTAGTAAAACTAGTATCTGAATTGAAGTTCTTTTTTAGTAAAATGTTTTATCAAGAGACTTAAATTTTATATTGAGATTTTATCTTTAGAGTTAAAATGGCCTCTAATTATAAAATCCTTGTATATAAAATTTGTAACGATTTAAAATATATTGATTTCAGTTATATAAATATTAAACTACACTTTTATAGATAGTAAAGCAGCTCTTCTCATTGGTTCTGGGAGAGGATTAAGCCCTAACAATTGAAGACAATTTCAGAATCATGAAGATGGGGAACACAGAATCCTAAACCCCACCTCCAGAGTTTTTGATTCAGAAGACCTGGGGTGAGGTCTGGCATTTGCATTTATACTAAGTTCTCAAGTGATGCTGATGCTGCTGGTCAGGGGTCCACACTTTGAGAACCACTGCTCCAAAGGACCCATAACATGCAACAAGAGAACTTTCTTTTCTGTATCTAGAACAGTATTAGCTATGAGGGGGACCCCAAAAAACCCAAGAATTATCTTCTGGAGGGCAGGCTTTCCTCACTAGGTGAGTGTTCTAGAAACCCTCTGTATCAAATGTTTTATATCAAGTGTACCAGCTGGCATTGTTGTAAGAGACTGTGTTCGGCTTCCATGAATTTTTGTTGAAGACTTTTCAAAGGTTTGCCCATTTCATGATGGGTGATTTATAAGCCCACCCACCCACACCCTTTGACCAAAAACTGTGTGACCCTTGTTCCCCACCCTCCCTTTTTACCCAGTCTCTCCCCAAACAACTTTTTTTCATTTCCCTGGATGAAAAAAAAAAGTCCTCAAAGGGAAAGTATTTGCTGAAGTGGAAGAAGTGAAACAAAAAATGTCAAAAGCAGTAAAAGGCATCAAAATCACGAGTTCAAAAGTTGTAGAGCAGTGGAAAAAAATGTCTCAATAGATGTTTGCAGCAATTGGAGAGTATTTTGAAGGTGACTGGAATTTAAGCATGTAAGAATAAATACACAAGTTTTTATAAATAAATTCAGGTGCTTTGGGGGTCTGCCCTCATATGTATCACCCTTGGTTGGAAAATAAAGGAGTGACCCATATAATTTTTTGTATAGCTTAATTAATTCTCTCATAGAACCTTGGTAAAAATAAGACACAAAAATGGTTATTTCTTTCAGGTTTTGATCTCAATTATTTTGTCAACTGAGGGTAGGAAAAGTGCTACTGATATCACTAACACAGATGAGCTTTTTATTACCTTATTAATGTGTACATGAATTCTTTAATCTGAAAATGCCCTGAATCCTCGCCCACATAATGACCAGATGCAAGAATAGATCTTAAATAATTAAACACCGAAATGCTCCTATATAATATGAAGCAACTTGTATCATTCTATTTTGTAGTATGTTTTCAAACGACTAGGAGAAAGTGATGAAAGGAATCAGAATGAATTTTTACTGATTCTTTGCTCACTAAAGCTCATTGAAATAACAGAAAATGCTAATTTACTGACTTCTTATGTGCTTTATTCAGGCAATCCACTGTACGACAGCCTCGGTTCTTTGGGTGTGGGCACCTTACTAGGTGTGGTCTCAGCATTCCTCATCTACACTAACACAGAAGCACTGCTAGGCCGATCCATCCAGCCAGAACAAGTACAGCGGCTAACTGAACTCCTGGAGAACGACCCGTCAGTAAGGTCAGCTTATTCCAGAGATGCTGTTGGGGTTTACAAGGTCGTTAAGAAATAGATATGCTGGTTTATATAAATACATCCAGAAGAGGTTTTGGATTCCTAGCCCTCAGAACCTTTTAATCTGTTACTTTTCAGAATTGCAGCCTTGTCAGAAAGCAAGTGAAAGCATTTGGAAAATTCCTCAAGTTTTCTTTTAAATTTTGTGTATCTTTAATTTTAGAATTTAGGAACAGTTAGATGGGAGCAGAAGTTTGCAAACTAGTTGCTTCCTTGACATGAAACCAATTAGATGGAACTATCATATTTATATTTGCCTTGTATTTGTATTACAGTTACAAATTGAATATACTAGATTTAAGAAGATTTTTATTCATGGGGAAGTGATTAGCAAATTAAATTTAATTTATATTCACTTTGAAAATAAAATTATTGTTTTAGCTTGTTTTAAAAGTTTTTTTAAGTTACATAAGAATAAAGAACTGAAGGCTTAGGGAAGAATCAGAAGAGATATAGAGTTCTCCCATCCAAGTACTAACCAGGCCCGACCCTGCTTAACTTCCGAGATCAGACGAGATCGGGCGCGTTCAGGGTGGTATGGCCGTAGACATAAGAGATGTAGAGTTCTAATAGTATTTTTCCGTGAAATTCAGTAGTAGTGTGGTTTTAGAGTGAAGTGGAAGGAACAGTTGTTTAAAATCCTAATTTCAACTAGCTACATATATTTTAAACTTTAAGATAAGAATTTTTTTCTGTTAAAATGTTTAAATTATATCTTTAATGAATGGCCCATATGAATGAGTAAAACATATAAGTAATTAAGCCCTATATGTTTAATCTTGAAAAATAGTTGCTTAGCTGAATCAAGATGACAAGTTAAGCCCTGGCTGGTGTAGCTCAGTGGATTGAGCATGGGCCTGTGAACCAAAGGATCATGGTTTGATTCCCAGTCAGGGCACATGCCTGGGTTGCAGGCCAATTCCCAGCAGGGAACACACGAGAGGCAACTAACCATACATTGATAGTGCTCTCCCTCTCTCTTTTCCTTCTCCTCTAAAGACAAATAAATAAAATCTTTAAAAAAAAAAAAAGATGACAAGTTAAGCATTCTTAAAATAAGTATTAGGCTTAATAGCTTAAGGTAAAATCATCCACATTGATATCTTTTCCTTGTGATATCTTTGTCTGATTTTGGTATCATAGTAATACCTTATAAAATAAGTTGGGAAATGTTCACTGCTCCATATATTTTTGAAAAGTTTGAAAAGAAATTGAGGTATTTCTTTTTTTAATGTTTGGTAGAATTCAGCAGCGATGCCATCTGGCTTTTCTGTGTAATTAGTTTTTTATTACTAATTCTCTTTATGTTATATAATCTGTTCAGGTTGCCTTTTTCTGCTTGAGTCAGTTTGGTACTTTGTATCTAGGAATTTGTCCATTTCTTCTTCTTTTTTAAAATTTTTAATTGCTGTTCAAGTACAGTTTTCTGCCTTTTACCCCCATCCCAGCCTACCCCCCCAGCCCTCCCCATCTCCCTCCCATTTCCATCCCCCCACCCGCCCCTTGTTATTTATCCATGTGTCCTTTATACTTGTTCCTGCAAACCCTTCCCCTTCCCCCTGAAATTCCCTCCCCTATCCCCTCTGGTCACTGTCAGCCTGTTCTAAATTTCAGTGCCTTCAGTTATATTTTGCTTGTTTGTTTTGTTGATTAGATTCCTATTAAAGGTGAGATCATATGGTATTTGTCTTTAACCACCTGGCTTATTTCGCATAGCATAAAGCTTTCCAGATCCAACCATGCTGTTGCAAAGGGTAGGAGCTCCTTCTTTCTTTCTGCTGCATAAAATTCCTTTGTGCTAAAGATACCAGTTTTTTGATCCACTCATTTACTGATGGGCACCTAGGTTGCTTCTAGCACTTGGCTATTGTAACTTGTGCTGAATTGTGTATGAACATTAGGGTGCATAGGTTCTTCTGGATTGGTGTCCGTTACTTCTAAGTCATCTAATTGGTTGGCATACAACAGTACATAGTATTTATAGTTCTTTTTACTTCTTTAGGTCTGGGAGTAATATCTCTTCTTCCAATTCTGATTCTGGTAATTTGAGTCTTCTCTCGTTATTCTTGGTTTGTTTAACTGAGAGTTTGTGAATTCTGTTGATGTTTTCAGGGAACCATTTTTTGGTTGAATACATTTGCCATTGTTTTTCTAGTCTCTATTTCATGAATTTCTACTGTCATCTATATTATTTTTTTTCTTTAGGCTTAAGTTTAGTTTGCTTTTTTTTGCAGTGTCTTATGATGGTAGGTTAAGTTTTTGATTTGATATCTTTCTTCTTAATGTAGGGTTTCACAGTTTGAATTTCCCTCTGAGCTCTACTTTGCTGCATCCTATAAATTTTAGTATATGTGTCGTTTGCATTCATTTCAGATAATTTTCTAATCTCACGTTTGATTTCTTCTTTAGGAGTGTGTTAATTTCCATGTTTTTGTGAATTTCCCAAATGTTTTTTTGTTACTGATTTCTTACTTCATTCCATTGTGGTCAGAGAACATACTCTGTATTATTTCTGTCCTTGAAAATGTACTGGTTTTTTTTTTTATGCCCTAGCATATGATCTATCTTGGATAATGTTCCTTTTGCACTTGAGAAGAATGTATATTCTGCTGTTGTTACATAGATGTCTGTTAGGTTGGTTGGTTTATAGTTCTTATGGCTTCTATTTTCCTGTTGATAGCCTTGCCTAATTGTTCTATCCATTACTGAAAGTAGGATTTTTGAAGTCTCCAGCTATTATTGTTGAATTGCCTATTTCTCTTTTTATTTTTGTCAATTTTTGCTTCATGTATTTTGGTACTATGTTGGTAGGTACATGTATGTTTATCATTTTGCATATATTGCTTATAATTAAAGTCTAAAAAAGAGCTATGAATGGAAAAGTTGACTCTGGCAAATTGGAATTTTTCTAGAGTTTATTAGTTATCTTTGCTATGTGACAAATTACTCTAAAACTCAGTGACTTAAAACAACATTTATTACCTCACCGTTTCTGTGGGCTAGGAATCCAGCCGTGGTTTATCTGGGTCCTCTACTTCAGCATTTTTCAGAATGTCATCAAGGTGTTAGCTAGGACTAGAGACATCTTCCGGGGATGGATGTGCTTGTAAGCTTACTCAATTATTGACATGATTTAAAACAGTGTTTTTTTAAAAAAAATCTTTATCTTTAGAGAGGGTGGAGGGGAGAAAGAAGGAGAAAAACATCCATGTGTGAGAGAAACATTGATTGGTTGCCTCCCGCACGCCCGCAGCCAGGAACCTGGCCTGCGATCCAGGCATGTGCCCTGACTGGGAATCAAACCAGCAGTCTTTCAGTTTGTGGGTCTACGCCCAGCCCACTGAGCCACACCAGTCAGGGTAGTTGCTTTATTTGTTTTTTGTTTTGTTTTGTTGCCACATGGTCCTCTCCAACATAGACAGCTTACTTAATCAAAATAAGCAAGCTGAGAAGGCAATCAAGATTGAGAGTAAACAAGATAAAAGTTACAGATTAGTCATCTTATTTTGAAAACAACATCTCATCACTCTGCCATGTTCTGTTGGTTAGGAGCAAGACACTGTCTAGCTCACATTCAGGGAGAGAGGGTTGTACAAGGCCTTTAAATAACAGGAGGCGGGGCTGTGACTAAAGCTGCCCATCACAGTTTTCTATCTGTAGCTAGTTATATACAGAATATTCTCATTAGCTGCTATTCCATTATTAGCCAAATAACCAAATTTATTAATACTTTGGGAGGACTAAGAATTATATAGCCTCTAGTCAATCTGGACAAGTTTTATGTCAACTTAGACTCATTATAAATATTATTCTTATTATTACCCTAGATAGTTAATAAATATGCTTCTTTACTTACATGGATAAAACATTTCAGACTCAGTATTTAGTGACTTGCCCAAGATTACTCAGAAAGCCCTGGCTGGTATGGTTCAGTGGATTGAGTGCCTGTCTGTGAATCAGAGGGTTGCCGGTTCAATTCCCACATGCCTGGGTTTTGGGACCATGCTTCCTACTGGGGACCTGGCCCACAACCCAGGCATGTGCTCTGACTGGGAATCAAACCGGTGAGCGGTGAGCACTCAGGTCAGCACTCAGTCCACTGAACCACTCCAGCCAGGGCAATAAAATCTCTTCTCAAAAAAAAAAAAAAAGATCACTCAGAAATTAGAGTCAAATGTTTTAAGTGTACTCGAGTCTCATTTAGGCTTGTTTTCCTAGAAGCTATGTTCCTAGGATTTACGGTGTTTTCTTATTCTCCTATATATCTTGTAAAGAAAATATGTTACAGTGATTATCCTAGAAAGAAAATAATTTCTCGATTTTTTTTAGGGAAGATTGATTTCGAAGGGTTAGGGCAGGAAGGATGAAAAGCATTAGGCTTGAGCTTCCCTTTCTGGGTGGCAGGATGGTATAAAGGAAAGACCACTGGGTGGGACAGTCTGAAGGTCTAGGAGTGAGTCCTTGCTCTGCTGTTGACCAGTTGAATTACCTTGGGCAAGTCACTTACGCCCTCGTGGGACTCTTACCGTCTGTAAAGATGCCATCTTTCCTATAGTACTTTGTAAAAGCCATTCAATACATGCCTGTCATGTAATTGGTAATATATTAGGCATTTTATATATGTGTTGGCTCATTATTTCCCATTAGGTAGTTTTTACTAAGTCATCTCATTAGGTAGTTTTTACTAAGTTATTCTAATAGAGTACTTTATAAAGTTGTTTGAAAACTTTTAAATAAACTATTAAAAAAAGGAAAAGGGGATTATTAGATAAAATAACTAGATTGTAGAAAAATAATTCAGAGTTTATTTTTTAAATGTTTATTGATTTTAGAGAGGGAAAAAACACTGATGTGAGAGGGAAACATCAATTGGTTGCTTCCCATATGTGCCCCGACTGGGGATCAAACCCACAACCTAGGTATGTGCCCTGACCAGGAATACACTTCTGGTGTATGGGGCGATGCTCCAAGCAACTGAGCCACAATGGTGAGGGCTAAAGTTGGGTTTTTTTTAATCTACTAACTTTTTAATTTATATGTATACAGATATAAGACAGTATGTGTTAAGTTTACACCTTTGGTGTTATGTAAAAATAAAAATAGCTAAATGGACATTTGTTTGGCAGATGATAGGTAGCACTTACTGGTGACCACTCAGAGTCATCCAACCCACTTTCATCACTGATGGAAAAAGTAATTTTGACTTTGTGCCATTAAAATGTATTATGTGTATATGTGTATGCATAAAAATTTATAACCATTGTTACTGATTGCAGGGCAATTCATGATGTTAAAGCCACAGATTTGGGACTAGGTAAAGTGAGATTTAAGGCAGAAGTAGATTTTGATGGACGAGTTGTTACAAGATCATATTTGGAAAAACAAGATTTTGACCAGATGCTACAGGTAAGTTTATGTATTGTTTTCTTATAAAGCCAATGGTTAGAAAAATTACTTTTTAAGTACATAAAATAAAACTTGTCTTTTATAGCTTATAAAATCACTTCAACTGCCAACTTCTTATGGCTTCAAAATTTGACAGAGACCCTTTTATTTACTGTAGAGTTGGGTCAGAGGAGATAGAAGTGCAAACTTATTATCGAAGTGCTTGCCAGGCACTTTATATATGTCATCTGGTTCACCTTCAACAACCCTGTGAGCTAAGGAGATGATGTTTTCATGTTTCTATGTAGGTGAGCAGAGACAGTGAGATTAAGTGACGCCTAAAATGGCAGGGCCATAATATGGAGTTACATGTGAATTTAGACCTCTGCGCCTCCAGAGTCCCTGCTTTTTTGTTGTTAAGAATAGTTTAAAAGGGAATTTACAGAGGATAATACAATGAACAGTGCAGGGGTTGCCACTTGCCTTTGTCAGATCCTAACATGTTACCATACTGTATTTGCTTAAGATCTTTAAAAAAAAAAAAAGGAGCCCTGGCTGGTGTAGCTCAGTGGACTGAGCGCGGGCCTTCGAACCAAATGATCATGGTTCGATTCCCAGTCAGGACACATGCCTGGGTTGCAGGTCACAGCAGGGGACCCATGAGAGGCAACCGTACATTAATATTTCACTCCCTCTCTCCTTCCCCTCTCCTCTAAAGATAAATAAGTAAAATCTTTAAAAAAAAGGAAGAAAGAAAAACAGTTGCAAAAATAGCTGAAGTCCTTGTTTTCTCCTTATAGGTCCCATCCTCCCTCTTTTATCCCTAGAACTAACAATTATTCTGAATTTAGTATGTACATTTCTTTTTAGGTGTTTATACTTCTCAACATACTTTTATTAGCATAATATATAATAACATTTTAGATGTATAAAAATTGATATAAATGATACTATACAATATGATTGCCTCTACAATTTCCTTAATGGCATGTTTCTTTTCCATGTTAATATATAGACCTTTAGTTAATTTATTTCAATTCCTATATTATCTTATCTTACGAATATCTGCAATTTATCCAGTCTCTAGTTAGTGGAATTTATATTGTTTCTGATGTTAAGCTGTTAGAAACAGTGCCGCGGTGTTATGTTCATACACGTGTCCTTGCTCACATGTGCAAGGGATTCTTTAGGGTCGGCTCTAGGGGGCCCGGGGTGGACACATCTTCAGCTTCTCTAGGTGCTGGAAAGTTTTCTCCAAAGTGGGTCCAGTTAATTCCTGCCATTAGTGTATCAAATTTCTATTGCTTCACATTCTTCATAGATTATATTGACAGAGTTTTGAAATGTTTGTCATGATAGGTGTGAAATGTTATCCTGTTTTAAATTTATATTTCCCTGGTAGTAGTAAGGTTAATAAACATTGAGATTATTGACCGTTGGGATTGCCTCTCCTTGTTTTTTTGTTTAGTTCATTTCTGCTCTCTGACAGATTTGTAAACATTCTGTATTTAACATGTGTGATGATACTAATCTTTCCTCAGTCGTGTATATGCAAATGTCATTTCCTATTTTGTAATTTACCATTTTACTTTATTTTACAGAAGATTTAATGTGGTTTTTAATTTTAATGTCAAATTTGTGTTCTTTTTCTATGTTTTGTAATCTTGCCTCAGTAATTCTTCCTTATCTCATTATTACAAACATTGTTTTTCTAAAAGTTTTATGGTGTGTTTTCGTTCTTTTTTCTTAGATTTTATTTATTTATTTTTCAAGGGGAAGGGGAGGCGAGAGGGAGAGAAATATCAATGTGTGGTTGCCTCTTGTGTGTCCCCTGCTGGGAACTGGCCTGCAACCCAGGCATGTGCCCTGACTGGGAATCGAACCGTGGTTGTCTGGTTCGCAGGCCCGAGCTCAATCCACTGAGCTACACCAGCCAGGGCTTATGGTGTGTTTTGTACCCTTAGGTTATTAATCCACTGAAAATTGTTTGTTTTGTTTAATAATCTGAGGTAGGGGTTTAATATTATTTCCTTATAGAAAAATAATTGCCCTGACACTATTTATTGAATAATCTGTTCTTTTACCACTAAATTCTAGTGCTACCTTAATGTAGCATTTTACTCAATTTTTTTCTTGAATTTAAGGGTTTGTTTTTTTTTTTTTAAGATTTTATTTATTTATTCTCAGAGACAGGAAGGGAGGGAGAAAGACAGGGAGAGAAACATCAATGTGTGGTTACCTCTTGTGCGTCCCCCTAACTGGGGACCTGGCTGAGAACTCAGGCATGTGCCCTGACTGGGAATCGATCCAGATACTCTTTGATTCACAGGCTGGCACTTAATCCACTGAGTGACACCAGCCAGGGCTTGAATCTAAGTGTTTCAGAAGCAGGTGGTTTATTACCTATGACTTGAAAGTTTTTTATTTTTCACTAAACTTAATGGTGTTACAGTTTTTAAAGGAAATCATCAATGTACTACTGTGATTTAAAAATAATTTTATTTTGTTTTTCTACTATCATTTTCTTTATAGGAAATTCAAGAAGTGAAAACTCCTGAAGAACTAGAGACCTTTATGCTTAAACATGGAGAAAATATTATTGATACTTTAGGAGCTGAAGTAGACAGACTTGAGAAAGAACTAAAAGTAAGATATATTCATTATGATATAATAATACCTATTTTTTGAGCACTTACTCTGTTAGACCCTGTGCTGACTGCGTCATGCGTATATTCTCTCAGTGACCCATGATGTGTTGGTTGCTCTGGGTGAGAAAATGGTGGATTAGAGAAGTTAGATGGTTTATCCAAGAAAGTAGGGGAGTTGGGATTTGAACCTGTGTAGCTCAGTTCCAACTTCTGTCCTTTCAATCACTATTCCATACAACTTGCTTAGTATCTAAAATAGTCAAACATTTTCTACTATTTTTAAGAATTAGATGGTTTCTATAGAAAGGTAAAAGGGAAATTTTAAACTTTTGAAAAGTTGGGGAAAAAATAGCATGTGACCATAAACAAACACACACACCCTGCTTTGTAGTCTGTGTGATGTTATTCTGTATTTTCTGTTTGTTTTTCTTCAGTTGGAGGTCACTACAATCTATTGTCTGTTTTACTGAAATATTACTTGATCAGACTGTTTTAAAAAGCGCTCAGTGCTCTCAAATGATCATTTACTGACATTGGAGTTGTTCGTTTGCAGTGAACAAAACTTGTAAACCACCTTTAACATGTGTAGTGTGTTGAAGGCCATGCTTTTTCTTCAGTTGATGTTGACTGTTCTTTAGTTCTTTAAGAAACTGAAGAACAACAAAAACAAAAATGGAGGGTGAAAGGTTTTTATTTCTGCTTATTTACTCTTTTAGAATCTAGATAGCTGATCAGATTAATAGAAGTACTGCAAATACGATGATTTTGTTAACGTTATAGTTCACAAGGTATGTCAGGCATTATTTCTGAAGTTTTTACATAAGCACTTCTCAAATATTTTGGTGGTAGGGCCCTTTAGATTCTTAACAATTACTGAAGACCCAAAGGGCTTTTATTTGATTTATAGTTATTTATCAAATCATACATTAAAACTGAAAAGTAAAAAATATTTTAAAGCATAATAAATCTATTACATGTTAATATAAATAATATTTTAACAAAAAACTCTTCCAAAATGAAAAATTAGTGAGAACAGTGGTATTGTTTTATATTTTGGCAAAAATGTAAGATAGCTAGATTCCTATATCTTATTCTGCATTCAGTCTGTTCCCATATATTGTTTTGGTTGAAGAATATGCAGAAAGGGAACAGCCTTTGTACGTATTCTTAACGTCTGCCTTTTCAGGTGATTGTGATATTCTCTCTTGATATGACACCAAAGCTTAGTTGCAGTGTGGAATCTGAAACCCTATCAGTGAACTTTTTATATGTTTGTGAAATTAGGCAGCAGAGTCTACAGGACGCCCTCGTTTCTAACACAGCTGCAGAGTTCAAGGGGTTCCCAGGAACACTGTCAGGTTAGGTGATTCACTAGGAATTTCAGAACTCACTAAGTGCTATTAAACTCACAGTTATGGTTTATTACAATGAAAAGACAGAGATTGAAACTAGCCAAGGGAAGAGGTACCTAGGTCCGAGTTCAGCAGGGAGCTTCCGTTGCCCTCTCCCCATAGAGCCATGGACAGAATTTCTTTCCCAGCAACTGTGTTTGAAAGTTTGCAGGGAATGTTGCCATCAGGAAAGCTCTACTAAGCCTGGCATTAAGAGATTGTATTGGGCTTCATAGTTGACTGTCTAAGTAGCTGGCCTTGACATCTTCAGCTCCTTCTGGAGGCAGAACAGATATTCCGGCCTAAGTGAACGAGGATGTAATTTTCAGACAGGACATCCCGAGGGCTTAGAGATCACCTTCCAGTAGCCAAGGGCAACGGCCAGACCTGTCTTTGGGTATGATTCTCTACTATATACTATTATATTAAAATCTGTTGGCCTATCTTTGTCCCTGAATGGATATTTTACCCATGCATGACTCTGTAGTATTATAAATTGGTCATTTGGAAAATAATGGGTTGACTGAATCTGAGCACAGCTTTCAAATGTTAAATTTTAAAGTAAAAGCTGTCAGGCTTACAGTGGATATGGGCTTTCCAACATTCTGATTTTGACTCAGAAGCTTGCATTTTATCATTAGCAACAAATACTTTTAGTGGTTTTCTTTGAAGTAACAGGCTCATTTTATTTTTTTTTTTAGCATCTCCCTGCCAAATATCCAAATTTGAGTAACCATAGTCTGTTAGTTATTCTTTTACATAAAAATGGTGTTTAAATTTAAAAAACCATCTGATTCAGGTCCTAACTCAAGCAGTCACAGAAGTGCTTTTCTTGTGACATCAGACTTCAGTATGAAGCAGAAGGGCTTTGTGCATCCCATTTTGTCACATAATATATTTAAAAGTGTACTCACAAGTTCAGGTTTGTAAAAATCAGTACTTTTTACTACTTCATAAAGGACATTTTAAAGTGAAATTACCTTTTAAAAAAAATACTGTGAGTGTCTGGCAGTCAAGAAACAGAATGACTGCTGATATGGTTTTGTGCCATTGCCCTGATTTTTGCAAAGGTGCCGGCAGTTTTATCTACCATTGCTGTTATGCCATCAGAGGAAATGTCAGCATCATAAAAAAAAGGCAAATATCATCTTAGGCAAAAGTATGAAAATAGTTTTGATCTTGCAGCTCCCTTTGAAAGGTCTCAAGACTCCAGTGACCCCTGGAGTACACTTGTTGAGAACTGCTGTTCCGAGTAAAATGTGGAACGATTGTTTTTGTACAGGATGACATGAGAATGAGTTCTGTCTATTCTTATTTACCCATTCTCTTTAATAGAACAATAAGTCAGAAGCTAGATTTAACAATAAATACAACGTCAATCATTCTAAAATTCACTTACGATAACCAGATAAGCTTGTTTCTTGCTAATAACTTGGTGTTTTAATTAGGAACTATTTAATCATTAACTGTTCAAACTATCTCATAAGTGGTTTTGAATTATGTAAGCCTTTCAAACCAGGAAGCCAAGTTGAACCCACATTTTCAGGTGGAAATATTTCTAACTAAGGTAATAAGGTATAAGTAACATTAAGTTAAAGACAGTTCTCCAGGGTTAAGACAGAAACCAAATGCATGAATATAATTATTCTTCCTTCTCATCAAAATAAGATGATTTTCGTTGAAAACGGAAACTTGGTACAGTGGCATATTCCCTCCTTTTCAGTATCTAAGCATGGTTGCCTTCTCAGTTTAAAGTTTAGTAATTACTGATTTACTTTGGAAGGTCACCCTCAGTGAGAAAATTCTGCAGCACAATAGCGATCTCCGTTGAGTAGTGCCACTGACCCAAGTATTCGAGTAGGTGGTATTTTTAGCTTAAACTGTGTCACTTGCTTACTTCATGTAAAGATGTTCAAAATAATAGAAGCTGATTTATAAAGTCCCCTGTTATAAATGTGAAATATATCTTGTTCTTGTTTTGAAGCTCTTTGAACTGTTAACTTGAAAGATTTTTTTTTTGTTCTACCTCTATATTTCAGTCTGTTGATCAACCCTTTTCTGTACTTCCATGAAGTTTTTTGTGTTTGGGAGGAAATAAGTCTGTTGGAAATGGGAAGATGCCATAGCATTTGCAAATTCATAATAAGTAATGTTCCAGTTAAATACTCTGCCCTTTACTTTGCCTTTTGCTTCTCTAATTGCATTCTCCTGTACCATTTTCTTACCTTGAGACTGCAACATTGCAAAATAAATACATAATTTGGTTTTTCTCTCCCCATAATAGGAGTGTTGGAATGAAATCTGTGGTGTATGAAATGTTCCAATTAGCTCTGACCAGTGCGGTCACTCAGTAGGTTGGGTGTTGTCCCGCAAAGCGAAGGGTCACTGGTTTGATTTCTGGTCAGGGCTCACGGCCTGGGCTATGGTCCCCAGTCGGGGTGCATGTTTCTCTCTCACGTCAATGTTTCTCTTCCTCCCTTTTCCCCTCCCTTCCCCTCCCTCAAATAAATAAATGAATGGATGGGTGAATGAACAAATAAATTTAAAAATAAAATGTTCCAGTTTGCATTGAACAGTTGTACTTGGGACATAATAGATCAGTAAGTTTTTGTTGAATATGTGAATGAAAATTACAAGTTGGACACCAGTTAATGATTTTTAACTCTGTTTGACAAATATTTATTCCATTTCTATTATGTACATGATAGTTTGTTAGGCATTAAACATTAAAATTTTAAGATATTTCTTTTATTCATTTATTCATTCAGCAAACCTTTGTGTGTCTACTTTGTATTGGACACATTATATTTTAGAAATTTGATTAGTTTTCTCTCTGAAAACAATCTAAAGGAACAAAGTAAATTAACTTTTGACTTCTTTATCTTGAGATCAGATTTTTACTAGTACACATCTGTCCCATAGTGCTTTTAGATGGAATAATTTCAAACTTTCCATGAACAGCTAAACTTTTTCAAGTTATATTGGGATCGGTAAGGGTTGAATGAACTAAGAAAATAAAATTCAGTTTCATTTCAGCTTGAGGAAGTCTTTTTTTATTCCGTATTGAATTAAAAGTTCTAGATGCAGAAATGGTTTAAGGTAAAGAAAATGGTGAGGAGAAGAGTGTGCCCATGTCCGGCAGTCCCTGGCCACTCCTAGTCAGCGTCCAAGAGAAAGCACCCTCAGGTCCACCCAGCAACACAAGGTACAGGAGAAGCCCCGGGCACACCCAGTGCGGTGCTCGGGCTGGGGCTCAACTCGAGGTTTTGCGTTCACAACTGAATTCCTTCAGGGTGACTAATGTGCGAGTGTTCCTAGCATACTTTTTAAGTGAGGAAGTACTGATCCTGGCCGGTTATCAGAATCACTGAGAGAGGATCTCTTTTTCCCTTGCTGATTCATTTGTCCTATTTTATATCAAATAATACACAAAGTTTGTAAAATCAGGACCAAAAAGCTTATGAGTGTCACTTGCCTCACCCTCCTCGGTGCTAAATTTTATTTTTCAGAAATAATCATTTTTAATACATTTCACACTTTTAAAATACTTACTGCCAGATTTTTACTTAAAGTCTTCTACTACTACTCCTGATTTAACCCTGTGGAGGTCGCAGCTAATGAGGGACACAAACAAACTCTTTTCTTAAATATTGTTATATATACTGGGTGCATAGGTTCAAGATTATGACAGATTGCACATTTGTACATGACTGATGTTGAGCCATAACATTTAAGCCATTAATTTGGTTATAACATGTTCTGTAATGGTGCGTGATATTTGAGAGTAAATTGTATCTGAGAGATACAGCGAACTCCAAAGTCAGTGTTGGTGTATGTTTTTTTTTGCAAGCTTTGAAGTCAGTGTTGTATTTTTTTTCATTTACCATTGAAAATTTCTGGAAAAATATATCAATTCAATAAAGAGATGTTGAAGAATTTTAGTGACTGCTACTCGAGTCGCTTATCAAAATATTTTTGCAAGTGTTGTGAAAAGTATTTATGCCTGAAGCATAGGAATATTGTTCCCAGTGACTGTTACAAACGTTTTACAAAGCCAACTATCAAAGATTCTGATTAATTAATATTAAAGGCATTTTTGGTTGTAATTTTAAGCAATATCCATGTTTCTGTTATTTGAAAAACATTTTTATTCTTTGTTTTCATATTTCTTTAATAATCTCTAGATTGTAACTGAAAATAAAATCAAGTATTTTCTTATACAAATATAATAAACACAAATTTGCAGCATTTTTAGAAATTTTTTTGCATTTCGGCACATGCTAGTAATGAATGTATCACAAGGACACATGCAACCTATGCTGTAATTCTCTAACTGTAACCTCTGCAGGGTTAAACATTATCTTGTCTCCGACAGATGTAGACTTAGTTATTATATACACTCTCTTCTGTCCTCCATTCTCACAATATCATATTACATTTTATTGCACTTCTGATTCCCACAAAATTGAGTTAGGAGTCTTTCCTCTATGTACCCATGGGGGGAAAAGCTGAAGTCTGTGCTTTGCTCTGTAGTAGCAGACTGTTGTGATTGCCCGCGTGCTTAACCTGTATTTCCTCACCAGTCGTAAGTTCATCAGAGACAAGGACTGTTTGTTTCCCGTTAATTGTATACTTAGGTGCCCGGCCCAAAATAGACATACAATGAAGATAGTTTTGTTGTTACTGATTTGATGTTCCTAAGCTAGCATTTAAGATTTTTGACAACCTGGCTTCTGCCTGACTTTCCAGTTTCTCTGACTCTGCTCATGCTGTTTCTTCTGATATCTACCTGGTGTCTTCTGATATCATGCTGATACCCACCAGGGGTGTCCAACCTGTGGCCTGTGTGCCACATGGCTATGAATGTGGCCCAACACAAAAGTGTAGGTTTACTTAAAACATAATGAGATTTCTTTGTAATATGTGTCACAATGTATTTAATGTGTGGTCCAAGACAACTCTTTTTCTGTTGTGGCCAGAGATGCCAAAAGGTTGGACACCGCTGAGTCTAGACCCTCTTCATTATTTTGTAAAAACACCGCGTTCAAACTGCACTTAGTATATCCTCAGTGAAGTCTTTCTGGAACTCATGAGCATAAGTTATAAGCCTCACACTTTTGTTCCTAGAGTTGTGATTTAGTATATTGTAATAGGAGCTTGAGATCTGGAATCTCCCCTGGTTCCATCACTTACTAGCTGTGTGACTTTGGACTAGTGAGGTTATTTCTTCAAACTTAAGTTTTCCTGTATGTAAAATGGAAATAATTGGGTTGTTATGAAAGATTTTAAAGTACGTGCACATGAGGCCCTTAGCACAATAGATGACACAAGAGTAAGTGCTCATTAAATATTAACAGTTACTATTATTAACAATATGCTTAAGCTCATGTATGGCTGTTGCTACATTTGTCTCCCTGGCTAAACTGAGTTCCTCAGGGTCAGGAACAGAGTCTTACTTAATAATCATAGCCCCACTTTCTGCTAATGCCTGGCCCAAGACTATATGGATTGTTACAAAAATAAATGAATATCAATGTATTTTTTTGGTTATTGTTTTAGTGATTTTCTTTTCACTGCAAATGAGCATATTTTCAGTGCTTTGCAATCTTGGCACCTAATAGACTCTTAATCTATTACTTTATTAATGAACATATGAACAAACCCAGGTTGGTGATACTTACTGTATCATTCATAGTATATTTGATTTATTAATATATTGATTTTTTTGTTGTTACATAATTTTTCTTGCTATTAAAACAATAGTGAAGTAGTTTGACCAAATGTTTTCAATGGCTTTATTGATCCAAAGGAATAATAATAATTAAAAAACCCAGAAGGTTCTGTTTTGCTGCAAATAATGTGGTGGTGATTTTTCCTTCCAGAAACGAAATCCTGAAGTTCGACATGTTGATTTGGAGATATTATAGATTTGATGGAATGAATGACTTCGGGACAAGCCTCAGAAGCAAGTTTGTTGAGCCTTCTCTCCCACGCTGAAGGAGTTAGCGCCATTCAAAAGCCATTTTTTTAAAAGATGAAGGAAATCGTTTATGTAAAGGGTGATTTAACAATCCACAGAACTAAAACTACTTCTTCTGAGAGACACGTCACACACGGAATCAGTTTGGAAATCATGTTTTTATGGTTTAGTAGGGAAACATTTTTGTTAAGTCGATGATACTTTCTCATTTGGGCCTGTCAGAGTATGTTGTACCTTGCAATCATGTTTCCTTTCTTCACATTGGTAAAAATAAGCAGCAGCTGTAGGATTTCGATTTTTTAAATTTTGTTTCCATGGAAGATTTCACTCCATCCAAACCTGCCAATTTTGAACATGCTGGCTAAATCTTGGTTTGTGGTTTTTAAATGGTCACTTCGTTTCAGTCTGTTTGTCTATAGAATGTGGAAATAATTTCCACATACCTTGTGATTTTGCCCTGAGCACTAAGAGGAACAATCTCCTATCCTGGTTATCCATAAATGTTCATTCCAGAATTCCCTTAATTACTGAATCGAAGGATGGCCTTCCAATATGCTCTTTGAGGTCATTGTAGGTGCCATTTTGTAAATTTTCTTATCTTTTATTTGCTTTTTTTTTCTTATTTGGTTTAATTTTTCTAATGCTAAAAGATATAAAATAACCCTGCTTTTTGTATGGGCCAGTGTAATGACTTGTTTTTTGTTTGGTTTGGTTTTTCTAACTGGCTTCAGTGCCATTGTATGTATTTACTAGGACATAATGGGTTTGTAAGTATTTTGACATTCTGTAAAATGGACTGGGAATATTTATAATTTTATAGACAGGACAGCATTTTATTTTTAATTTATTTTAAAAGAGGCACTACTTATGTAAATCTGAACTATGGGATATTTCTTGCTTTAAGATTAAGAAAGAGTAAAGTGAATCTCTTACGCAGAAATCGTGGCCGTGATTTTGTATGATATCACAGTCAGTATTGTGTCTGTAACATGAGTTTTTTTGCAGTTACAAATGGGCATTTAGCATAATATAGGCCTACAGTATCATGTAGGTAGCTTTCTAGCAATCATAAAAGTATCAAGATCAGAAAACCAAAATTCAGAAATTGAAAATTTAGTGCAAAGCTATAGCTCTGTTTCCATTCATCAGAACAACTCATACGCACTTTAAATTGTTCAGGTAGCACTGGGCCCGTCCATGCAACAGTGGTGGCCGAGTGATCTCTGCTGGATGAGGGAGTGCTGGGCAGGAGGACCTGACTGCCTGTGTAAGGTCAGTTTCTAAAGCTCCCTTAGGGTACAGTTTATGAATTACAGCAAATTGTAATGCCGGAAGCAGTTTTTAAGTTTTCCATTCAGAGGTTTTTTGATCCAGAAATGTCATTTACTGGAAAATTGTGAAAATTTACATTGTGGTACATTTTTTTTACCATTACAAAACATTCTGCATGTTGTACATTTTAAGTAAAATAACATTCCAGTTTTATTTTTTAAGATGCAAAATTATTTTATATGTATACATATACATACACAATTGGGTTCTCTGTTCTTATGGTTTTCCTACTATTTTCTGAAACTTTTTTTTACCCATTGTAATTCCCTCCACACTTCCCATTCCCCCTCGCTTCCCCTCCCCTTTCCCACCTGCCATTTGTTATTCCATGTTGCCGCTTAAGGAAGGTACCAAATGACATCCAATCCCCTTTTGGTGAAATTACTCTGAAAATTTTTATATTGCTAGGCAAGAATAATTTAACTCATTTAAAAAAATCTAAAGTTGATGTGCAGAAGTTATTCCAAATGGTAGATATTTTAGGTCTCTAAAGGAAGCCAATTCCTGATATTTCTGAGTTTTCTAATCTGATGTGATTGAGGTCAGACCTATTCTTAAATAATAATTGAAGGCTTATGTTTCTGTCTTATTTTCAGTGCAGAACAGCACTGATATTTTACGGTGTATTTAAGCAAAATTTGATGTGAAGAAGTACAGCATATCAAGCAATTTGAATACTTTTATGGAATCAGGAACCGTATGACACCTCTGGACCTTTTTTCCTTTTAAACGAGTCAAATTTTAACTTGAAAACCAAGGATTTTGGACTTTTCTCTTTAAAAATAAGATAATATCTTGTTTGAGGTTCTTGTGTTTTTTTTCAAATTAATAGTTCTTTAAGTCTTGCCTAGATCCATATAATTTGAATATTTAAACATATAAGTGTCAGTATTTTCAAGGAAAATAGCTTCTGTAGTAGAATACTTGCAAAAATAACATTGGGCAGAGAAGAGGACCGTCAAGGGCCCATGACTCCTCTTTGTACTGAGCTGAAATCTGGGAGCCTCCGGGGGTGGGGTTCACCCGTGCTCAGCTTCGGCTGAGACTGGGTCTCTCCTCAGGGCCCACACTAGGGCAGGGTAGCACATTGTCTAGACCATGGCGGAGGGAGGGAGGGAAAGTGATGGAGACCCATTTTTAAGTGGACCATGTTGGTGGCCAAGAGTATCCAGTTCCAAAGATGAGGATTCCTGAACATGTAAAGGAAACTGAACTAGTATCAGATTAGAAATTTCCCCCGCCAAAAGTTAATGTCTTCGTATGTCACCCCACGTACATACCAAACAACCCAGAATAACAGAATGGCACAGGACTTGAATTTGGGGTATATTATTTTAGTGTAACCTTAATTATCCTATAATTTAGCTAATGCTCTTTGCTAAAATTGTAGCATCTACAAGAAATGGCTTAAGTCTTAAATCTTATAACTTTTTGAGGTAGAATGCTGGGAAGTACAGAAAATTGCATAGACATTTGGAATTTACACTATCAAGCTTTGGCATTTTTAAAAAATGTGATGACCCCCAGTGTGCCAAACTGTCAGAAGTCAGTGAAGCAAAGAATTGAAGGTAAAATGTTGATTCAAAGATTGTCTCTCCAAAATCCCTTGTTCCCGTCTCTAAAATGGAACTTTGGAAGGTGTTTATATAGAAAATTGGTCTTGCAGCCTTTATATTTACATTTAAGTTTACTAGCATTCCTAGACTTGGTTTTATGGAAAAAGAAAAATTTTGTTTCTGTTACATTGTATTTCAGTTGTCCAGTTTCGCTGGCAGATGAGATGGTCCCCGTCCCTCAGGATGCATTTTTCTTTAATAACCGTCTTACTTATGTAAATAAGAGCAGTTCACTATTAGTTTGGGATTTTTTTCCCCTGATGAATAAATGTTTTTTACACATAAATTCTTCTTTACCTCATGTGTTAAGAACTAAACTCTAATTGATACATTTTACCTTAAAAATCATGCCTGTGATCATGCCTGTTTTTGAATAGCATTTATTACTCATTGAGTATGCTTGTTAGTTTGTAAGTTTCTGGTTTTACAAAACCAATATACAGCAACTCAGTCACACTGTAACCAGTTTTCAGTGTAAAGAGAAGTATTATTAACATGCTGTTAGGATGTCAGTGTGTTTGCTACAGCACGAATCTAAAAAGGTGTGTCTGTTAGTGGTAGGTACTATATTACATTTTGATAAACTACAGCAGAATTGTGTCTTTAAGGGCTTGCAGAGGTTTAAAATAGGTTTTAAAGTAAAAGCATACCTGTTTATATTATAATGGCCATCAACAGGATAATTTGAGCTAGTTGTACCAGCTACCATTTTACATATACAAGCCTACCTAGTCCTTGTATGAGCCAGTGAAGTGTGGGTTGTTATTCACAGTTTTGCAGAAGAGGAAATGGAGATACACTAGATATGCAGCCTGTCCGAGGAGACTCAGCTGTTAAGGAGCTGAGTCAGGACTGGAAGTCAGTCTAGTTCTCCAAGTCACTCTCCTGAGCAGAAGAGTCCAAGCAAAGTAACACTATAGAGAAAGTGGAAACAAAACACTCATTTTGTTATAAAATAAGCAAATGAATTAACTTTCAGTCATCAGAACAACAAGCCAGGTCCAAGTTGGACTGCTTGACTGCTTGAGATGGAGACATCAGGATGGGATTGGAGTAGGACGTTGATGTTTTATGGAGGGCAAGGAATTGTCTGTTATTCTGGAGATTTATTTTCAAGCATTACTTATAGGCCACCTTATAGACATATCCAGAAGATAATCAGTTCAACTGACCAGTCATTGACTTGAACCATATAGGAGAGAAGTTTAGGACAACGTGTGGAAATTAGCATTAATCAAAATTTCAAAAAAATATTTTAAACTTGTATTTGATCCCTAGGTACCCATTTATTTTTCCCAGAAGCAACTAATGTTACAAACTTGTGGTGTATTCTTACAGATATTTGATCAATAGAGGCACACAAACATGTATGCATATAGGTAAGTTTAGAATATATATTTCCTCTGTCTTACCAGACAATGAAATACATAGACCTCAATGGATCTCCTTACAATTTGAAAAGTACATAGCCAATTTTCAGAGTTTTGTGTCCACTGAAAATTTTTACATCAAGCAGATATGACATGGGGCAATTTACATTTAAGTTAATTAAAGACCACTAAAAATTCAGTTCCCCAGTCTACATGTTGCTGGCTAGTGGCTACCCCGTTGGACAGTGCAGATGGAACATTTCCGTTTTCACAGGAAGTTCTTTTGGGCAGCACTAATATGGTAGAATAAAGCTACCTAATCTCTCTTTAGTGTTTGAGAGCAGCTTTATAGTGTACGATAAAATAGTGCCTATTTTTTGCTGTTGGAGTCAAGGGTTAAGAAATTCTAGCTCACCTAATTATATATCCATACTCAGAAATGTATGGATATATAATTAGCTTGTGAACTAAAACCTGAAGCTACCAACTAATGTTACTTAGAACAAGAAAATTTTTCATCTTCAAAATAGTTTGAACTTGCCTGGCTGGGTGGCTTAGTTGGTTAGAGCATCGTCCTGGGCCAAACGGTTGCAGGTTCCATCCCTGGTTGGGGGGCATGTGTATGAGGCAGCTGATCAATATTTCTCTGTCTCAAATCAATGCATATATCCTTAGGTGAGGATTTTAAAAAAATGAACTTCAACTCTCATTCAAGTACACAGTCAACATTCTGAATGTTAAGTAACAAGTCAACCCTAAAATGTGTTCTTGAGCCATTAGAAATTCTTGCCTGGGTTAATTATATGATTATGAAGGTCAGTGTTAATTTACATGGTGTTTCATCAAAGAGCTAAATCAGTGTGACACCATGTCCTCTAATGATGACGAAACTGAGGACTGGGGGGCCCAGTGGCGAGAAAGGGAGGAGTCACAGGGTTACCACATTTTATGTAAGAAGTGAGTTCCTGAAGTTGTGTAAATTAAATATTTTAAAATAGGTACTGTTAAAAGCACTCGAGGAAATAAAAATTTTAAAAAATCCTTTCGTAACAGGAATGCTATTATCTTTGTTGTTAGATCCTGTTTAAAGGAGAATGACTAGCTTTGCTCTGGGAACTGTGGCTGACCAGGGTGAGGTTAGAAGGATTTTAAGGGGTTGGGTGATCAGCAGTATTGGAATTTCTAAGGAATTACTTGGATTGGTTTAATTTCCTTGTGATACTTATTGTATGGATACACAGCCCATGACATTATTTATTGAGCACTTACTATATACTATAGTCCAGAATGTATCCAGCCATGTAATATGAAAAATAGACATTTATTGAAGAAGATACAAGAAACATTGTACATAAGACAATGATGCCTCAGTCCCCTTCAAAGTAGGCACCTCAGGACCTCACACAGTTCTCCCAGCGTTTCTTCTGCTGTTCAAAACACTGCAAAATCTTTTGTTGGAATTGCCATCAACTGCCCCATCATATTTTCCCGACACTCATCAGTGGTCTAAAATCCCTTCTCTTTCAAAGGTGATTTTAGTTTTGGGAAAGCCAGAAGTTGTAGGGTGCCGAACTGGGTTATAGGGAGGCTGAGTCACCTAGGTGATTTGATGATTTGCCAAAAATCTCTGCACAAAACATGATGCATGAGCAGGTACATTGTTGTGATGAAGCTGCCAATCACCAGTTGCCCATAGCTGTGGCTGTTTATTGTATTACATCTTTCAACCATTGAAGAACACTGAAGTAGTACTCCTTATTAACTGTTTTGCCTGGAGGGGCACACTAATGATAGACAACACCTTCCAAGTGAAAAAACAGTTAACATGGTCTTGATCTTGCTGAGACTTCACTACGCCTTCTTTGGGCATGTAGAACTAGGTGACTTCCGTTGGAATGACTAGGCCTTCGTTTCCGGACCTGAGCTGTAGACTCACGATGCAGCTCTGGTTACAACCTTGAGGAAATCTGGTTCATTGGTAGTGGTTTGAATCAAGTCATTAGCAACTGCAGCACAATGTTCCTTCTGCTCTGGCAACAGAAAGCACAAATGAATTTTGCCATGACACACTTCATTCCAAGGTCCTGCATCAAAATCTCAGACACAGCAGTTTTGGAATCCCCAGATGAGCTTCTGCCCGTAGTCTTGCACTCAGACACCAGTCCTTGTTGATCGTGACCCATACACCTTCAACGTTCTGAGGTGTTCTGCTTGGTGCAGGCCTTCCAGAATGTGGATCTCTCAACATTCTCAACCATCTTTGAAGCATTTGTGCCACACTTTTATTTATACTGCACTCATTGCATCATCCTTGGAAGCCTTCTGAATCATCTAAATAGTTTCTACAGAGGAATGTTCAAGCTTAAGGCAAATTTGAATGTAACGGCCACAAAGTGCACATGTTCACTCAGCATCTAACACCCCCACTGACTAGTACGGTGAAGCCATCATTGTTCACACATTCCAGTCCACTCTGGCTGCCAGGTTACATCAATGTCATGCAAACCATTCTCATTAACAATGGCTGGACTTTTTAAAAACAGACGTGTGTGTGTGTGTGTGCATTGTGTGTGTATAGTACTAGATGCCAGTGGGACCCTTCAAGAAGAAGGAAGATAATGCAATACTGTTGACTGGATAAAATAAATCACTCCTCTTGGTCAGGGGTATATATCTCCTCCAGATCACCCCCTCCTCTAAGAACCAAAACAGAGGAAATTATTCATGGCTGTGACCTCTGGCTTCCTTAGCATCACTGAGGCCTGCCTGGACCAGAGAAAGCAGTTGGTAATTATGGGCCAGTGATGGTCAGGCTATTTCAAGTATAGAAGATGTTGGGATCCTAATATGAATTCACTTAATGGGAGGTATTCTGAGCAATGCCCATAAAGAATTAATTTGTGATTGCTTTTCCTGGTTTACTTGAGCTTCCTAACTAAGTTTGACAATGTGTAAGGTCTTCGCAAAATTTCTGGATTTTTATAAATGTGCTGTAACTTCTCCCATCTTAGAAAAATGGGCAAAAACATCCACACACACAGAGAAATCCCTAATGACAAAAACCTCTTCAAGTACTTTCCCATTGATGTTTCTCTTTCCAGCAAAACTCAAAGGGGTTGTCTCTTCTTGCAGCTCTCCTTCCATTTTTCTCAGAAGCCCATTCCAATCAGGCTTTTGTCAGTCCCTCTCCACTCACCCTGTCCTTGACCTCCATACTAACCACAGTGGTCAATCTTAAATTCTCATCTAACTTGACCTGCTAGCATCTGACACTGAATTCTTTGGCTTCCAGAACTCCACTCTGTGTTCTCCACCTACCTCTCTGGCAGCTTGTTTCCAGTGCCTTTTACGAGTTCCTCCTCGTTCTCTTACCTGCACACACTGGAGAGCGCCAGGGCTAGTCTCTTCTTTGTCTACACTCACTCACTGACCGTTCAATCCCATTACCTAAAAAACCATTATTGAAACCTGAGCCTTGAACCCTAGACTCAAATCCAGGTGCTTACTTGGATTTGGCTTACTTGGCTGATATGGTAGATTACATGGTTGTTCCCAATTATTCACTGCCCTTGTGTAAAAATATTGTACATCCCTGTTGAATACTCATCCCATTGCTATATGATTTGCAGTACCTCCCATGGACATTGGGCTTGGTCATGCAACAGGCTTTAGCCGATACAACATGAGCATAAGTGCCACACTCCACGTCCGAGCAGGTATTTAAGAGCTGTTGTGCTATTCTGCCATAGCTGTCTTCCCCCTTCCACGAGAACAGTGTGGTCCAGGTAGGGGCTGCTTGTCAACCCAGATTCTTGAAACACCCAGACCAGAAAGACAACCAATGTACTGTAAGTACCACTGAGATTTGCTAGATCACTAATATCTCAACACATCCAAAAGCAAAACCCCCAATTTCTTCACCTTCAAGAAA